AGAATTTCCCCGTCTTTGTCTCATACCTGAGCGTCACTCACAAGTTCAGGTAGCCCTGAAATTCCAACCGTCGTGACAAGTCGCTTATGAACCCACTCTAAATGGATTGTGGCTTGCATGTAAAGCTTGAAAAACAGTGTGGGATAGTACGATTTTAACTTTATACGTTCCTCTAATAGGTTGTCAGTGTTTCTTCTATATCTTAATGAAACCAGTTTTTATTCTTTCTTTCCGTTTTATATTTATATCTCAGGCCTGGAACTCTCTCGTAGCTTGTTTTAATCCTCCATCTTCTCAGAGAGATTCCCACTCCGTTTTATGACTTTCGAGTTGAAGTGGATCATGCATATAGAGAGTAAAGTGTTAAGAAAACCAGTAACTTTATCTTTTACTGCCCAATTTTTTTTTGTTTTTTCCTCATATGATGCCAACCACACGGTCATAGTGTGCAAGTTCGAGTCAGAATGTTATAGGTTGTCATATTAAAACAACTAATCCAGCATGAAATTGGAAACATGAGTCTGAATAGCGAACGTAGGAGAACAACTTTGATATCACAGATCGATCTACTCGTTCTCAATCATAAAGAGTCTAATACAAACAAAATGATCTGCCTCACAACGTTTTAGTGGCACTGAATCTAGATTATGAATGATTGTTAGTGAATTATGCACTGTGACAATCTTCGTATATGTTCATCGACTTTACTGGCGTTACTAAATAACGGAATCAAATAAGTCGAATAAGAGAATCGATTTTGGGATAGAAATATTTCGTATACTCAATGATCTGGACAGACAATCAGGGAGACAGGACGAAGAGAGGAGAGCAATGCAAATTGGAGAAAGCAAGTGAATCAACTTGATTTAACAAAGCGTGAATCGATATTTATAGTCATACAAAGATAAGTCACAGACATGTGGTGAGTAAGATAAGAAATGCGCAATATATGCGAAGTGACAAGGTCAGAATTTGAATCAAGAAGAGTGAAAAAATTAGCCTGTCCAGAGGCTAGATTAAATTATATGGGCTTGAAGCCACGAAGTGACTTTGTGGCTAGATCTAAAATGTAATACCCTGAAAGCGATGAAGGGAGGGTCGAGGAAACTACTTGAGATTGGTTTAGACATCCTACGACGTCACTATCTTATGATGTGCTGCAACTTTAATGGTTGGAGATCGATTTAACAAGCATATTTGACCCAGTGAGCATATAAGTTTAGATCTCAGTAAAGCGAGATACTTGTCGGTCAGTTGAAATTTAGTCATTTTTTTATAGCAGATTCGGGTCTTGCCGAAATGTTAACCTAACTTCTGGCTGTGAGCTATTCACGATTGGTGGGAAAACAGTATTTCATTGTGTGGCGGGGTAATGTAGTATGTGACCATTGAGCTGGCTGATTAGGACGGATATGCTCCATGATCACCTGAAGCGTGGTTTAATGAGAATGCTTGGCCGAGAGCTCCCATCCAGCTGAACAACAGTGAAAATAACGTATTACGTATCACTGTCGAATAATCATGGGGGTGTTTATTCTGAGGAATCCCTTGCTGTTACATAGATGTTATGGGCAGTTTAAGGACTACTAAGTCCTTGAATTGATATTTTGAGACCTGGATAAGCTTTCGTTCCAGGTTTTATTCACTTTTTCTACTAAGTAACATCGTTATTACAAACGGGCTGTACACCAGTACTGAACGTAGCATAGCCGAAATTTCCTGGTCTGTCAAATAGCGTACTCTAGTAGCTACAAATGTACTACTAAAGGGAGGAAGGAGAACATCACAAACACATCACCAAGCTCGCGCCACTTAAAAAAGACAGTGGTATTGCTCTTCGCTGAATATAGTTTATGGTTTTGACTGCTTTCGTCGTAATCGAATTTATTTCAATTAAAGTAACACAAAGAGTATCTACAACAATTAGTTCCTTTGATTAATTTCGATAATGTAATGAGAAGACGAAGATTATCATAACTATGTGATCTATTAGTGCATTACATTTCGAATAATTTGATGACACATATACTTGTTAAGAGCATTTCTATATAAAAATAAAAGGTCAACTAGACTGGGAACGTGGTAAGAGGAGATAAGGATAAGAATATTAATAATAATGTGAACACAATTCGAAACCTAATCACTCTGAATGATAAGTCAATATTGCCAGGGTAGGTTTAAGGTAGGCTGCAGAAACAAATACAGTCAAGTGACGCAATAAGAGCAGAGGATAAACATCCATCATCCTCTATTGCTAAACATATAATTGAAACAGGTCATAAGATTGATCTAAACTCGGCTTTTGTAGTGTTGTATGAAAGTGTGTTCTTACCTTAAACCTACCCTGGTAATATTGACTTATCATTCAGAGTGATTAGGTTTCGAATTGTGTTCACATTATTATTAATATTCTTATCCTTATCTCCTCTTACCACGTTCCCAGTCTAGTTGACCTTTTATTTTTATATAGAAATGCTCTTAACAAGTATATGTGTGATCAGATTATTCGAAATGTAATGCATTCACATGCATACAGTCACACATACTGAGTTTAGTTAAACACAATCTTATTGTCAATAGTCCGGCAGCATGTATTAAAAATTAGGCAACAAAAGGTGAGTCTTTTATCAAAGCCACATAATAAAAGCTCAGACGAGGAAGACTGAAGAACATAAAGTGTGATCTGAACAAAGATTAAAATACATGACAGGGAAAAGAAACAAATAAATGACAGTACTGTCCAACGAAATACTGCGGAGGGATTTTCAGCGTTTTCTTTCCGTTATATACTGATTCTTTCATTTACGTTGTTACTGAAATTGCCTTCTGTCTCCTCCTCTGTCCTTTTCATTTGAATCTTCTCAGTCTCCTACTTCAACATAAGTAGCATACACCGCAGTGCGACATATGAAATAAGCAGCTAGTTACGACCCAGACTCTGAATCGTCTCTACTAGATCATACACTGATCATTATCTTTCATTTGCATATTCTTGTCAGCAGCGATTTGTCAGCCAGACCGAAGATCCTAGAAGCAAATATACTAGAAAATATCCATTTAGCATCCTTAGTAGATTAGACAACAAAATCGGATACTTTATTGGAAATACTCGGAAAGTACTTAGAAATCCGTACATAACAGTTACTACACCTCAAACCCCTCGGACTACACCAAGGTGTTCGAGAAACTCTCCTCCGCTGTTTAGTAAGGAGGTCTGCATCCTCCTATGTAAGAAGCAAAGAATGTGTGAAAGATTAAGGCTACTGTGTGGTGACGAAACAAAATACCAGTATCAGAAGCTCAAAATATTTGTACCACGACCCTCCATATATCTAAAAGGTCATACGAAGAAAAGCTTGGTAAGGAGTCTCTAGAATACCTCAGGTGCTTATACTTGTGCATTCCATCATTATTGGAGGACGATTGTGGTAAAGCTCATGTATCCTCAAATTACTTTGGCAGTGTACATAAAGCAGAGATGCCCTCCCCTTCGATTCAAACAAACCTGCCCGATACATTCTGGATAATGTGAACATTAAAGAACTTGATGTCTGTGATCTACTAACTAAGCTTGACATAGGTGAATCCACAGCATTCGGTGATATGCACCCTGAAGTGCTGGAAGAATTAACAAATTTTATCACTTCAGGGCAGATTACAAAACGACTGGAGTAACGTCACAATAAGTCCTACCCTTTAAAAAAGTACGAGACATAAATCAGAGAACTTTCGACCTGTAGGCTCAACCAGCGTGGTTGTTCTAATAAAAAAGCTATTCGAAAAGAAACGTTTTAGTATCTAGACAAAAATCAGGTTCTTTCTGAAAAGCAGCATGGCTTTAGAACATTTTATTTATGCCTCGCAAACTCATTACAAATGCAGCCAACATTGTCTCCATTGAGGCATTGGCAAAGTTCTTCACATCCAATTATTATCTAAGTTATGTAATATCAGTATTGAAGACAATTCATTAGTGCGTAAAAATAACTTTCTAGTCGAACATCAACAAAGAGAACGGGTCGGTTAGAAATTGTCTAGCTGAAAAACTGTGCTTAGCGGAGTGCCTCAAAGTTCAGTTTTGAGGTCAGGTTTGTTTCTCCTGTATGTAAATTATGATTTATATTGGTCATCTAGGTACAGATAAACACACGGTGAATAGCAGTGAGCTACCTATTGTCCAGACACATAGTGAACTAGGGGTCGTCTTCAATCACAACTTAAAAGCTACCGCACACTGCCGTGTGATAGTCGCAAAGGTCCTAGAATCCTATTGTCATTAAGTAAACCTTTATCCATGCCGACGCTAAAACCATTTCGCCTTTGTGTACAGTGTTCACTCATCCTAAACTCCAGTACTGGATTCAAGCGGCTAGTTCCTGTCTGAATAGAAACAATGGGCTGTTGTAGAAAATGAAAAAATTGCAACTAAGCTGATTCCTGGGGTCGTAAAGATCTCGTATAATGAAAGACTGTACAAACTAAGTAGATTTCTCTTGTCTTATGGAAGAACCAGAGGCAGTGTGACCACAGTCTGTAAGTTACTCAACGGTAGATTTACATCCGATATACGCTCATTTTTCAAGAACTGAGAATTTGCGAGGACACTGATAAACTTCACAAAATAAGAAAAAATTAAATCGATCTCCTCACCGAATGATCAGCAAGTGGAATTCACTACTTCAATATGTGATTAGGGCTCTATCTGTCAACTCCTTCGAAATAAATTTGAGTCAGCTGGGAGACCACCACCGCCAGGACTAACACAGGCCACCAAACCTCGTGTCTAATCGAAAGTACATGTATTACTGAAATGTTAAGTAAAACGTTGCGACATTAAGTGGGTTTCCATAAATATAACTGGTGAGTTATTTATCAGAGTCTTATGTCTGTTTCTCACTTGATCTACAAAGAATTGTTTAAATGCTCTAAAGGTTCATATGGAAGCAGGATTTCGGATTGTAAGGTAGTCGATTGTAGGTCACGAGTCACCACGTCGCACGATGTTCTCAAGTACCTGTGATTACACAAAGTTAAGGTTGAATATCAGACTTTGTATTCAACGACTTGAATATGTTCAAAAAAAGAAATCTGAAATATCAAAGGGAATTCGTCGAGAAATCGCGGACCTTTTGAAAGATGGAAAGGTTGACAGAGCTCGCATTAAAGTCGAACAAATCATTCGGGATGACTACTGTGTGGAAGCCATGGACATTATACAGTCATATCTTGAGACGTTAAACGCGCGATTTGGGCTTATTCAGGATGCAAAGTGAGACACTATGTTTAGTATTACATATTTCAGGCTGCCAGATGCATCTCTTGAGACACCAATCGCGACTATACTATGGTCCAAATCACGGATTAAAAATGAGATTCCTGAGCTAGAGATTGTCGGTCAGCAGCTCGCCATTAAGTTTGGTAGGAATTACGTCCGTGAATGTTGTGAGAAGGCTAACATGGTCAATCGTACCGTAATGACAAAATTGAATTCTATCGTCCCTGGGGCGAATTTGGTTGAAATGTACTTGGTTAGTTACTTTTTCCAACAACCTAGGCCATTTGACCTACCGTGTTAATGTAGCATTTTATTACTCATTTCGATGCTGTTATTCTCATATGTCCATCAATGTTGGTCCCAACCGCTTGTTTGGCATAATGCTAATAAGTAAATTTCATTAGATACGACAAAAAATGTAGTATGTCAGTTACCAAGCTTATTATAACTGAGGTTTCAGTCCAGTTATTCATGGCACTTCACTAGTAACACTACCAGGCTGAAACAAAAACAAACATGTCAGTAAATTCCCAAATTCACTTCCGGTTCAGGACCGTTCATTGTACAGTAAATCTCTAGATTCAGATGCTACCCTTCAAGGTCTGCTAAAATCCGAACCAAATGTGCCATACAATTCTTTAATTTGTATTCAATTGGTGATGAATGTTTTTATCTTAATGATAGCATTTTTAACCGCATCCAAACATATGCTCATTATAAAATTCTAGTACCGGCGGATACTGAAAAGTATGGGCCATACAAACTGAGATATTATCGTCGAGACAAAAAGGGGATAGAAAGTACAACCAGTGTTAATCAATGGTCTTTACAACATAACCTATGATCCCTAAGCCATAATCATCCAATTTCTGTAAACTTTATGTATAGTATGTTTAAAGAAGTTTATGATAACTAGTTCTAGATAGTTTAGTTGTCCAGGATTCCAGATATCAGAAAGTTCGTCAGAAGGAATCTTTATTCTCTAGTGATAACAGTCTGGATACATTTAATCATCCATTTAATGTTCCTATATCCACTTGTTTTCACAGTTTCAGAAGGAATTTAGACTTCTACACAATTAGTGCTATTTTAATGATAGTAGATAATATTCTCGAACTTGTCTCCTAAAGTTTTTGAGGCTTCGGCTTTTAAAAATAAGAAATTCAGCGGTTGTATATATGTTAATATATGGGATTTCAAGTATTAATTCCCTGAGAAAATATAAACAGTAAGCATGACCAAATAGATTGTAATACTAGGTTATGTAATTTAATTAGTGATAGTTTGGCTTCTGTAAGAGGTTTGATAGATTAAACGTTTTTGTTGCAATTACTGAAGGCATTAGAATAGTTTAGCACAATTTAGTGACATCAGTAACAATTATGAATAAATTCATGAGAATATGAGAAACAAAGGAATATTCCAAATGCTAAATCAGTGAGATCAAAACTGGCAGTTCAATGCTGTTGTAAAGATAATGATTTAAAATTAGCATGTTATTTTATTGGATAAAAAGTTTCTTCTGGGTAGTGGTTTTGTCTTTGTCATCAGTTTGTTTGGGAGTTTGAACCAAACACATTTCATCCACTGGACAATATTGTCTTCATTCATTAAATCATAACAGTGGATGGATTCTGAAAAATCGAGTAATTCTTTTTCTTAAAGTCACCCTACTGTCTTTTCATCTTTCCCTTGAGGTTAATATAAGTTCGTTTCTTAGAATATCTTATTTCATCCAGTCTTTCATATTGATGGTTTAGTTCTTAGCTCTCGTCGTCATCAGGTGTTCAATTTATCACTGCTGTTCAGCCGAAAGGAAGGACAGTAATAAACTTTATGAATTAAAATAAGTTAGATTATTGTGGTTATCTATAACTGTTTTCATAGATCCCTTTTATCTTATCATACTTTGCCTCTGTTTTTATGAAATTTATAATCATCTCCCTTTCCATACACAATACCAGGTTGAAATCGCGAAAAGTTACGATGTTAGTTTCACTCCAGACACACATGTCATTTGCGACTCTAATCTAATGTTCAACGATAACTTGATTGAATTCAAACCTGATAGTTCTGTTGGGTTACCTAGTATGCCATCCAACTTTGGAGCATGCAGCATGCCATGGGCAACTACATCGATGTCCGATAAAGCTCCTTATCCTACGGAATTTATCAATGAAACTAAGATTCCATCAGGCATCCCGTCAAATGAAACAATGCCCTCAAACACAACCAGTACGTCCCCTTCATGTTTTTCCCTTAAGTAAATTTATATTTTTTTAAAACTAACAATTGATATTTTCGTAGTCATTTTGTGTTATTCAATTGCTTTTCATATTGTTAATGGTGTTAGGAAAACTGTAGTGTAGCCCACATATCTTATTCTAGCTTATGAACCGGCCAATTTATCTATTCTTGAGTCAAGTTTTGACCTTGTTAATTATGTACTTATCAACCCTGACTGTTTTTAACATAGGTTTATGTGTATGTACTTTTTATCCTACTTATCACATATATGTAGCTTATTGATTAACGCCTGGTTAAATCGAGTTGGCTCACACGCCATCTCCACTGCACATCATTTCGCTTCATTCCTCTGATTGTTCAAATAAATGAGTGTACAAAATATACATATTCAAAAATCCATTATCATATTTGGCTTATTTAATCCGGTTCTTCACTAAAACATTAAGTCGATAACTATACGGGGATTGGCGACATGTATACTTCAATAGCTAACAGAAATAATCCATCTCGAGTCGATGACATCGTCCTATGTAATTGACGTCAAAATAAAGGGTCCCACTAAATAACAACTTTAAAATGCCCTTGTGCGGCCGAGAGTGAGGAGAGTTAGCTCTCCCTCGAAATGCTCTCAAGTGGCCACGTGCATACAACCGCTGTCAGAGAAGTCCTATTCACTGTCTTCTTGCGGCAGCGGTGTTGTTTACGAAATCGAGAGGATGAAAAGCGAATGTCCGGGATTAACTGGGTTGGTGGATATTGAGGACCCACCTGGGGGGGTTGGGAAACCTTGATTCCAAATCAATGATGCACATAGGCTCCAGGATCCTGAGCGAACAAATGAGGTATGAACCAACTGTTGGTCACCGGCTGCTATGAGACTGCATCTTCCGACGTTGCTTCACTGCCTTGTGGATCAGACCTTTATGTCGAAGGCTCCGGGCGTGGCCTCCTAAGAAAACCACCTGCTTCGGTCTGGGCATCTGGGTAGTATCACAGCCCACACATACATCAAGTGACTTTTGTGACGCATATGCATTCGGTACCCTTTTGTACCAATATTTATGTCCAAATAATTAAATACAACGCATTAACATACTGCTTACTTTACAAATTTGCCCCAATTTATAATATCCTACTTTTATTTCACCTTGAGGTTGTGGTACTACATTTAGAATGACCCTAATAGTACAGAATATAGTAATGAAGCAATACTAACTGTAGGAGTGTGTTACAACCTTTGACGAAATTACTGAACGTTCATTTCGTGCGACTTTGAAATATGTATGACTACTTTATGTTCTCGTTCCTGGACTGATCTGTATTGAACGTATCTTTTCGTACTGATGTTTTTTTTAAGGATTTAAAATTATCCATGATACATTGTCCTTTTTATATTTTAAACAATTTCTCCTTGAAAAATCCTATTTTATATCCTGTAGATTGTTTATTGTCATCTACTTTATTACAAACTTTGGATAATTTGCATCAAAGTCGATCACAATATTTCATTTCCATTTATTGATTGTTTTTCTGTAAATGTATCCGTTCTCTATTCTTTAGTCACCTTGCCTCTGTTACTGAGCATTGTTGAAAGTGTAGGAGTAAAATGTCTTTTTTGTAAGTTTCTGCTGGTCCGCATTCCGATGATGAATATTTCATATTTTGTTGATCCTATCTTTTTATTGTGAACCTGTTGCTTAGTGGTTGAAGCGATTGACTTTCAACTACAAGTTGGAGTCCCACTCTATCTTCAGAATGAGCAGTTGGGTAGCATTAGTAGCTTCCATACAAAATGGTCTACTAAACCGAGTTCACTGATGTGTTTCATCAGTTATTCTTTTTGTCATTGTTTTATAACTATATACCACTCAAACGGGTGATAAATCTTGGTTTACGTCCAGTGTTTTATCCTTCACTGTTGAATTGATAGTTCCTATAAGTGGGTATCTTTTTGTTCATAGATTTTGTCGAAGTTCTTTCCGCCTTAGTTATTCAATTTTTCAAATATTAATATGCCTCTAAAACTTTTATTTATTTATTTATTTCAACACATAGATAATGGTACAAAGAGGCACCAAATACATATGCGCCACACAAATCTCATCCGATATGTGTGAGGGCTGTGATACTGCCCGGGTGCCCAAACCGAAGCAGGTGGTTTTCTTAGGGGGCCACACCCCGAGCCTTCGACCCAAAGGTCTGATCCACAAGGCAGTGGAGCATCGTAAGGAGATACAGTCCCATGGAAGCCGGTGACCAACAATTGGTTCATTCGCCATTTGTTCCCGCAGGATACTGGAGCCCATGTGCACCATTGGTTTGGAATCCGGTTAAAGCGCCGGACATTCGCTTTTCGTCCTCTCATTTTCGTAAACAACACCCCCGCCACGAGAAGGCAGTGAGTAGGACTTCCCTGGCAGAGGCTATATACGCGTGGCCGTGTGAGAGTATTTCGAGAGGGAGAGCGGACTCTCCCCACTCTCGGCCGTACCAGGGCATTCGGGTCAACATTCTCTTGGCGTATTTCATTTATGAAGTTGAGTATCAATCACTCATCTGCCTATCATTTTAAGGCACCGACTAGATTTAATTTCTGACCATTTTATTGTTTATCCAGCTAGTTGCAGTTGTTACTCTTATAAGTTTTGGATATAATGATAAGTTAATATGTAGCATTAATCACTCGATGGTTCAATCATACATACAGTAGGGACTCTCAGTCAGTCAGTCAGTAACAACGTAGAACTTCGTACGTACGTACATCAGTTCGAGTTGCCACACCACATTAGCACAGAGATGCAGTGGTCGATTCAAATCTCGTAGTGCTAGATGTAGTAAGAACATAAGCTGTAATCAGAAAAATTAGGGTTTTAAGATGTTATTCAAGGAGTATAATCCAGTGAAATAACTTTGGAAAGAGAAAAAAAGAGACAAGGAGGAATTAGGAAATTAGAATTTGGGAGAACACAAAGAGTGTATTCACCTGCGCCATTGCAAACGATTTTGAGCCATTCAGGGTCTCTAACCATCGGTTGCTATCATCTCGCGGTCCCCAACCAGGTAGTCTACACCTACCAATATGACTCAGTCTACTTGTCAGTGACTTCATGGACTTGTGCTATGTTTTGGTCTGACCGCACCTAGCTTTCCTCCAACCTACTCTTATACCACTGAACATCGCACGTCGAGGCAGTTGGTCGTTGGGCATACGTAACACGTGTCCCAGCCGTCTCAACTGATGAAGTTTCACCACTTCATCAATTGATTTGTCATCCTTACCTAGTACCCGTTTCCCAACAACTGCGTTACTTACTCGATGGTCCCAGGATATACGAGCAATGTTTCGAAGACACGTATGATCAAATACTAGTAACCTACGAATATCCTATACTCTTACCGGTCATGTTTCACTGCCATAAAATAGGATGGAACGAACAGTAAACACGTCCTTTGGTTGATAGAGTCCCCCCCCTCAGTAGGGACTCGAATACGCGCTTAATTAGTTCTAGACTAAACAAGTTTTCTTTAGTAGGCTACGTATTATTTATCTCAGATTTCTCAAGTTAGTGTTTTGTTATATACTAGTTTCCATGGGCTGATAAAACTTCAAAAATAATTGAAGCTACTATTGTTGTTCGTGCTACGTATATTGACATAAGTAGTATATAGCGCGAGTCAGAAATGTAATGTCTGGCAGCAGAAGATTGGAAAGATCAAGAAAGGAAGAACGGGAATAGGAAGCAGTTAGCATGGAAATGCAAGAACAATGAAGTCCGAGATAATTATTGAACATTTTGCAGATTAAATGTTATAGTATGGTGTTCTCCTTCACTATACTATCAATATATATATATATATATATATATATATATATATATATATATATATATATATATATATATATATATATATAATGATACAGTATTTATTTGTTGTTTTAGCAACCAATGGCGATACAGTTATGCCACCGCCATATGATATGTCTGTATGCAATGGTCAAAATACTGTCGTACCATTTAATTACCCTGGTCCTTCGTTCCTACCACCTCAAGATAGCTTCACAACACTTCCTCCAGGTAGCTTCGCTATGATTCCACCAATGAATGGACCTAGTAATCCCCCTCCGGATGATGAAAAAGCAGATTTCGACACTCTGGCAGAACGTTTTGAAAAACTTAAAAAGAAGTGATAAATTTTGTTCTCATTTGTTGGTACAGATTTTTTTGTTTGTTTTATTTTCAACTTCACTACACATTATGCTTGATCTCTGCTATATTTTTAAAATGAATCTCTATTTTAAAAAAATGACTACGTGATATGTAAGTCTATTTTTTGTTTTCTTAGTTGATAATTTACATATACATACATAATTATTTTCTAATCAAATAAAGTAATCGAATCTATAGTTATATTGTATCACTTTGTTCTATTCTCACTGTATTCAATCGCTTTCGTTTATAGTGAGTAAATCGATAAAGGTCATCTACAAATTGGTTATGATTGATTAATTTCTGTCCTATAGTGTGTATTTTGCCTTTTTAAATCAAGGAATGCAGGTAATTTAAGAAAGTAACTCATTAGTTGTTATATTTCTAAATGGAATTAGAACTCTTGATTACGGTTGGCATACTCTGTTTATTTTTTATTCTAGCGGGAGTGATCGGTATCTACGTATAGTGGTATACCGGACTGTAGAGTCATCGTTTTATGAACTCTTGTTCCCTCATTTATACTCTACTGATTGATTATACCTTGAAGGTTCGTCGGTTACTGTGGATTCCACCTTACATAAATACAAGTAGGGCAAGTAACCACACACTAATCGTTTGTGACGAGAGCTGTTGAACAGTCTCGATGACGTTCACTTAGCTATTAAATCCAACCCCGAGGAGAACGACGATAGTATAGCTTTCTGTGATGTCCTACATTCTAGGAGGATAGACAGTCCCATAAAAGGAAATGTATTTAAAAAGAATAGATGGGCAGGTCAGTATACCCATTACCATAGCTTTACACCTCTTCAATACAAAATAGACAGAATCAAACTCCTATTTTCTGAAAACTGTGTAGATTACGAAACCGATAACCTGAAAAACACATTGCGAAATGATTTCGTCAGAAAAATTCCATTAGGTATTAAAAAAAGCTGTGACACGGTCAGTAAAAGAAATCTGACTCAAACTGAGTTTTAAAGGAGACATAGTAAGTGACATTTTAAAACCGACGTTTTACGTCGCCAAGTTACATACAATTTTCTCAACCAAACCAGTACTTACACAAAAAATTAAGGATAGGTTACCGATGATGGGCTCCTTCATGTAGGTATACCGATTCAACTGCTCCTGTAGAGCCAGTTACATAGGCCGTACTCAGATGGCCTTATCCTTGAGTGTTCGTGAACATGTACAAGCATGGTTCGGAAGAGGAATCACTAAATCAGTTAACAGTACTATTCTTTCTCACTTAGTAGGTAGTGAACATCATACGATAATAGATGAGGCTTTCTCTGTTTTATCTCAATTTAAAAAGAATCTACCTAAAGGAGCTAGATTACGGCCCCTCTACATATCCAGCCTCTATATTTACCTTGGCCCACGGATGGATCACCGGATACCTAAACTGGATATTATAAACCGCTTATAGCCCCTCCCAATTCCTTTCGTGTTTATATCTTAATCTTCACACTCATCTTTCCCAGTTCACATGAATTCTTTTTTATCGTAATTACTTTGATAACACTCCTCTTATTGCATATTATATTCACACAACGAAATTATTATTACCTCAATTGATAAAACGAAATTCTCTTACGATGCATTTTACTCACATGATTTGTTGATTTTGTTGTATTACCATTATTTTGATTATGAGTTGACACTTTGCTACAAATCAATCTGACATTTATCAAATGACCTTTCTAATTTACAAATAACAACTTTGGGATATTTATGTCGTAACAGGTGCAAACGCTCACCATTCCTAACATATAACATTGTCGAATTCCGATAATGCAGTTAGAAGACGAAGTTTGTCATTGCTTTATCGAAATTTATCAAAGGGACTAATTGTTGTAAATTGTCAAATTCATTAATGTATGCCTTAATCTGACCTTTTTAAAATATAATTATAGATTGCAAACAGTGGATCCTGATGATGAAGTTATTCAAAACAATTGTTCCATCGAATATTCTTCCTCTACTATTTTCTTGGTAATTTTATTACGTTGTAATGATTTGGTACCCATACTGGGGGTAACACACTTTTATGTCCAATTCTATGTTGATTATGATTAACTGGCATGGTTTATTTGATTAAATAAAAATGTCCAAATGAATTAATATTATTCGATTCTAATAAATAGACTGGATTCTTTTGAAGTTATGCTAATTTTGGGTCGTCCTACTAATGGATTCACCAGAATGTTATGGGCAAATCTACTGTGCTCCCTAGACAGTCATACAATCAATTATTTTGAAAATCCTAACGATAAGCTATTATAGAACTCAAGCTTTTAGAAATGTACACATTGACCAGACGAAAATCTAATCTATACTCATGAAGTATGAAAGTTAATGAAACAGTCAAAACACTTTAATAATAATAATAACACTATAATTTTTGCTAATATTTTTATGGCTGAATATTGCAATAATTGGTTTTAATGAAGTTATATTTATTTGTATATAATAAGATATTAGGCATCAGAATTACTATACATTAAAAGGATAACATTGACAGACTTTATATTATTCTATCGACAAAAAACAACTGACAATTTGTTGAATATTCTGTAGATTTATTTCATCCAATGTAGTTTGAAATAAAATGGAAATCATGAGAGTGAGGAAACTAAAAAAGTTTAAACCTAGCGACTACTCACTGAAACTATACTGAACTGCTGTACTTCAGCGAGGTTGATGGTGACCTTCCAGATGTTTCACCAATGAGTATACTCGAACTGTCATACTTTTTAAAATATCTGAGTACAGATTCACTGACATTATGAAACAACAATCTAAAAATTATGTGAGTGAAACTCGGGAAATTTGTACGGAAAAAATTCTTATTATTTGGTAGATTATTAATCATATAGTTTAGTTGCAAGTTCACGTTAAACAAAGGAAAAATAAAAGAATTCTCACTAAACGAGATTTAGAATAAGATCTCCACTAAGAATAGGCTTTTCGTATCATTCGTGTCCATACCATGTCATTTTGACCCTATGCTACAACTGTAGACTTCTTATCCGTTCTGAGCAATTTAATCACAGTATAAAAATTTTCTGTACAAAGACAGCTATTAAGTTAATTTTGACTGACATTACTTTTTTCAGATTTTGTACTGAAGGATAGTCACTATCTTGGTTCTTAATAATATTTCAATATATAACATAGTTGGACGGGATTCTCTAAATTAATTCATTTTACACAGCATATCATGGTAGCAATGAAAACTAAGATGAACATGGTATAGTGAATTCTCATGATTTCGACTTTCACTGACAATTATTCTTGTTAATAACCATACTTATATTCTGGAATTCTGTGTTGTTTTAAATTAGTTCATTTGATGTTCAGAAGACAGATTTGTCCCGAGTAATAATCATATTACTCAGTGATTGTACACAGGGATGTATACCAGGATTTGAGAAATACCTAGTCATCAAGGTTAGTAATGCTACCTACTGTTTAAATCGAATTAGGTGGAGCAGAGTCCTTACCTTCGACCTAACTATTGAAAGCTGAATACACTAAGCAATTAAGCTATCTTCAAGTGGGGACTCTGTCGATAGAAAGATCTAATAATTTGTAAATAATTGGCTAACTGATCTTTCACCCTTGAAATTTATTCTGATGATTTTGTTTCCTAAGATGGTGAAGAAGTTTTGTACCTCAGATGGATAATTTCGATAGATCTTCGTTCTTTGAGCTGGAAACTACCAAAAGAGGTTGTTTTCTGGCATGACAATCGGAATCATACAATTATAACATTTATATATGTGAATGTGATATCTTCAAAAGTTAATATTTTCCTCTCAATTACAATCATACATTGAAATTGAATGCATTCAAAAAAAGTGCATACTTAATTTTGTTAGTCTTTAGGTTGTATACTTCTAGTTATGCCTAACTATTCCATTTAAAACCAACCAATTCAATCTTTAAATGAATTGAATATATAAAACACACGAAAGAAACATTGTAACGATTATGTTGTTTGGGTACATTTTAACTTGTTAACTGAATTATTTAATAAAAATATACCACTAACATTAATTTGCTAGTTGTTAGCTTGAAAGTTATGTAGAAAAAATCACTTGAAACTTTTAATGCTTTATTACAAGTATTAGCCCTCTTTTCTTCCAAGTATTCACATGATTACTGTTTTTACAATAAAATAACAAAAAAGAACAAATGGAAGCAACACAATAATGTAAAATATTTTCATGTGCGCTTGTTTTTGTTGTTGAATGAAGTATTACGTCAATCACAAGGATATTGTTTCTGAATCATACCAATATTATTTTAGTATTTTAATTGAGTTTATATTAGTCTCATTAGGTTTTCACTAATTGTGAATTCAGTGTTTGTCTTATATTTTTATTATAAATGTTCCTCTTAATCTGAAGATTTTTTAATAAGACAGATTTAGCTCGTTAACTTTTTTATTATTCCCCCTGATTAATAGTTTTGCAAATTCTACACTGTGTTTATTATACATAGGATAATGGTTGGCAGCCGAATGTGCGAGGTGTATTTCGTCATCTGAATATGCAGTGTTGATCTTCATATTGAAACTAAAAATCTAGTATCTATCATTTCAAATGTCAAAGTTACTCATAAGGCTACTGAATCTTGATAGCTGCTAATTTTGTCGGAGATATTGAGTGATCTAGCCTGAAGTTGGTCACAGTGGCGCAGTTGCATTTGTTGTCTATCTTCCTTTAAATTATCAGCTAAGTATCAATGTTATGTGTTTATGATTTATTTCTTTAGAACTTTACTGTTCGCGTTAATATTTTTATGGTTTGGATATTATTCCCCCTTCTTTATTTTTCATTTTGTTTTACTCTCACTATGCTGACATTAGGTATGACAAACTGAAACGAAGCAAACTCTTATCAGGTTTTACATTGATAGTGATTGACTAATCTAGTACCTTGTCCAGCTCACATGATATATATTGCTAGTTGTAAATGTTTATATTTTTCTGTCGTTTATTCTCAATACTGAACTCAATCAGTCTGTTAGCATCCGTTTAAGAAAATTACATCCAAATGTAATTTCAAGCTTTATTGTAAATTACATCCTCTTAAATGATGGAGAATATTTGTAGTCCAGGAAGTGGGTTTTGAAAGTGCTGTGCTCTCTGAGCTGAATGATTTGATTGCGAAACTTTCATTGGTGTTCTCGACATCATCAGTATTATTGTTGTATGTGTTAATATTGTTGAAGAGAACAATTGAAGCCGAACGACATAACGATCCAGCTCAGAGAATACAACAACTTCACAATATCCTCACAAAAAGCTTTTCTGTTGAAATATGAATTTTCTATTTAAAATATGATGTAGATGAATAAAGTGGTCAAAATTGGTCTCTGTCGAAATATAATCCTTTCACAGATCCACTCTGTATATAGCGCATGGCTTTTAAATTATTGCTTCAGCTATGCGTGATGATTGCTCGAATGATTAAAGGGGAAATATCAGTACTCTTTCATTACTTTATACAGGATTATCTGTGAATTGATGTTATAATCAGTATAATAAGATATGAATCAGTGATTGATCCTTCATATTGTTTTAATCACCTTGAATGCAGTGGGTAAATTTATTTCAGTTACGGAATTCACAATCAACAGTTTATGTTACATACTAAGGTTCATTATTAAATTGTCTTGTTTGACTGATTCACGTGAACTCATCGGAATATGAACCTTTTTATCAAGAAGAAAATTCAAACTGTAAAATACTATGGATTTAGAACCATGTGACGCTAGTTCGAATCCCATAGAGAGGACCACTCTTCTCAAGATTGTAGATACGCCTAACTGACAAGTGCTAACTAACATGAAACCGAGGTTAAGTGTTTTCTGCCGATCTTCTATAACTATGTAACATATAATACCCTTATATGTATAACCTAAGTGTGTATAGGAGTAGATTAGAAGAAAGCTAGGTGCGGTCAGACCAAAACATAGCACAAGTCCATGAAGTCACTGACAAGTAGACTGAGTCATATTGGTAGGTGTAGACTACCTGGTTGGGGACCGCGAGATGATAGCAACCGATGGTTAGAGACCCTGAATGGCTCAAAATCGTTTGCAATGGCGCAGGTGAATACACTCTTTGTGTTCTCCCAAATTCTAATTTCCTAATTCCTCCTTGTCTCTTTTTTTCTCTTTCCAAAGTTATTTCACTGGATTATACTCCTTGAAGGACATCTTCAAATGTCCTTCGGCCGAAGGTACCACACCTCCTTCATACAAGATAAAATTGGCGAAATGAATTATAGTGCAGTGCAAGTGGTAGTAAAAAGGGATCAGAGATGAGTATTAAGATTCGAGAAGGAAGAACAAAGTCGTAAAGTAAAATGTAAAATATTTTTAAACTCACGTGTTAAGGCAATAGAAGTAGTGAACGCATCTGCTCCATCGCGACCACTTTTGAACCGTGTTACCAAACGTCTCCAACAACTAGTCAATACAGTCGTGTGAATCCCTCCAGGTAATCTACATGTACCAACATGGCTCACACCAACATTTAATACCCTCATGAACTAATGTTTTGGATTCGGGGCCCCTAGCTAGCCAATTTAGTGAGCCACTATACGTGCTTTCGTTTCGGGCAATCATTCTTTTTTCTTGTAGGTAACTTTTCAGGATATGGTAAATAATACCAGTCGATATGAGTTGTCAAAGCACGGACATTTGTAGAATTTGCTGAAAATCAATAAGAGGTCTTTGTTTAGGTGTTTTTAGAAAGTACAGTAAATTGACCAATAACGCATAATCATTGGTATACAAAGCTTCTTATCGGTATATTGGTTGTTCATAATCACAGTAAGATGCGCCACATCTCATATCATCAACTAGAAAGGAAAGTAACAACAGATGAAGTGATGGATAAGAGTTGATTCAAACTGCAATAGAAATCCAAATATGAAAATCGCAATCTAAAAGATGCAGATTAGTTGAAAGAATGAAAAAGTAATAATGATTTCTTTCAATATTTAGGGGAGAATGTATAGAAAATTTTAATAGCGCAATCGTCGTTGGCCCATATTACTGATTGTCTCCATCCATTGACTACAACTATTGAATAGGATTCAATCAGGAAGTCTATGCATATGGCTACCAATGGTTTCGCGAACTAATAAATTGTCTCTAGCTAATCATCAAACAGTTGACACCCTTGAGATACCCACTCACTGTCATGATCATATTCAAAAATATTGTCATTCAGTTTTTACATACTCCTTTTTATTACCTTAATCTAGCATCATTTTCATTATTCTTGGTATATGATGTTCTACTTTTGGTGTCGTTGTGTTCTCCGAACTAGATGGTTTAATTACGGATCTTTCATTACCATTTTGGATAACATATTCAGTGCCTACTTCATGTAGAAATAAGCTTTCCAGATATTACACAAGTATTTATTGTATCGATTCATTCCAATGGCTTTGTTCGTGATTGGCTGCCTTCAGTAAAAGGATATAATGCACTAACATTAATACGTTTTTATCCGGTTTCAAACGGAGGAAAATATGAATAAATGCAGAATCTTTTTTATTGTCCTTACAAATAACAATCTATGTATAGAGCTTTTAGAATCAACGAATATTTTTGAGATATTATTTATGTAATTCAAAAAAAAGAATATGCCTTTATATAGTGTTAGTTTAAAACAATTACCCTTTGCATCAAATAAAGCCAGTGCACAGATAACAGATTAACTCCGAATAAACGATACTCTTCGCAATTAGAAGACGAAGATTATCATGACTATATGATCTATTAGTGCATTACATTTCGAATAATCTGATCACACATATACTTGTTAAGAGCATTTCTATATAAAAATAAAAGGTCAACTAGACTGGGAACGTGGTAAGAGGAGATAAGGATAAGAATATTAATAATAATGTGAACACAATTCGAAACCTAATCACTCTGAATGATAAGTCAATATTACCAGGGTAGGTTTAAGGTAAGAACAAACTGTTTTTGAACCCATAAAGGAGGTTTGGATTTTCGTATGGCTAAGGCTTCAATAAGCCTTAGTATACGCCCTTTTACACTTTCATACAACACCACAAAAGCCGAGTTTAGATCAATCTTATGACCTGTTTCAATTATATGTTTAGCAATAGAGGATGATGGATGTTTATCCTCTGCTCTTATTGCGTCACTTGACTGTATTTGTTTCTGCAGCCTACCTTAAACCTACCCTGGCAATATTGACTTATCATTCAGGGTGATTAGGTTTCGAATTGTGTTCACATTATTATTAATATTCTTATCCTTATCTCCTCTTACCACGTTCCCAGTCTAGTTGACCTTTTATTTTTATATAGAAATGCTCTTAACAAGTATATGTGTCATCAAATTATTCGAAATGTAATGCACTAATAGATCACATAGTTATGATAATCTTCGTCTTCTCATTACATTATCGAAATTAATCAAAGGAACTAATTGTTGTAGATACTCTTTGTGTTACTTTAATTGAAATAAATTCGATTACGACGAAAGCAGTCAAAACCATAAACTATATTCAGCGAAGAGCAATACCACTGTCTTTTTTAAGTGGCGCGAGCTTGGTGATGTGTTTGTGATGTTCTCCTTCCTCCCTTTAGTAGTACATTTGTAGCTACTAGAGTACGCTATTTGACAGACCAGGAAATTTCGGCTATGCTACGTTCAGTACTGGTGTACAGCCCGTTTGTAATAACGATGTTACTTAGTAGAAAAAGTGAATAAAACCTGGAACGAAAGCTTATCCAGGTCTCAAAATATCAATTCAAGGACTTAGTAGTCCTTAAACTGCCCATAACATCTATGTAACAGCAAGGGATTCCTCAGAATAAACACCCCCATGATTATTCGACAGTGATACGTAATACGTTATTTTCACTGTTGTTCAGCTGGATGGGAGCTCTCGGCCAAGCATTCTCATTAAACCACGCTTCAGGTGATCATGGAGCATATCCGTCCTAATCAGCCAGCTCAATGGTCACATACTACATTACCCCGCCACACAATGAAATACTGTTTTCCCACCAATCGTGAATAGCTCACAGCCAGAAGTTAGGTTAACATTTCGGCAAGACCCGAATCTGCTATAAAAAAATGACTAAATTTCAACTGACCGACAAGTATCTCGCTTTACTGAGATCTGAACTTATATGCTCACTGGGTCAAATATGCTTGTTAAATCGATCTCCAACCATTAAAGTTGCAGCACATCATAAGATAGTGACGTCGTAGGATGTCTAAACCAATCTCAAGTAGTTTCCTCGACCCTCCCTTCATCGCTTTCAGGGTATTACATTTTAGATCTAGCCACAAAGTCACTTCGTGGCTTCAAGTTCAAGCCCTAAATCATGAGTCAGTTGAAGCTAGACCACCGATGAAAACCTGGAAGCACTAGACGGCCGTTTCGTACTAGTCTGGGACTCCTCAACCGTGCGAATCCACGATCCCGCACCACGCGGGGCTCGAACTCAGGACCTAATGGCTTCGCGTGCGAGCAATTAATCATTAGACTACTGAGTCGGCATCCAATGGTGTTAATGTCTATCTTCAACCAATCCACGAAGTCGCGCCACCGTACACCATTGTCTTCAGTGAGCTGATATCTCACAACAGACTTCGTTTAATTCCACTGGTAACGGCCTGCTTGAGCATTTGGGCTACCTGTTCCTGATATCTAGATATTTCAACAAGTTATCTATTTTTGTGTGTTTTAATGTATCTTTATATCTATTAATCGCATAACCTATTCTGCTGCGTTTGTGAAAAGTGTACAACTGTAGCTTGGCGTCGAGTTGAGATTAACTGTGAACACCGCTACCATAAAGCTCGTACCAAATGACTCCATAAAAACCCCGAGAAGCCAAATATCAGAAGGCAGAAAATGGACCAAGTTCGGATTTATTCACTGGCGATCTCGTGGTATCGAAAGGATACCGAGATCGTGCCAGGATACAAGCTTGGTTACAGAAGGTAACCGAATTCGCGCGAAATTACAATCGAAGTGTGTGAACAAGAATGGAAGCCCAATATAGCTGTCATTAGCACAGTCAAACAAAAGCACATTAAAATAAACACTGGTACAACTGTTTATAATAATAATTGTTTTTATTGAACCAGTCGTGTTCTCGTAATAAACGTGAGTCACTACACAACCTTTCGTTGTCAAAGTTACAAAAAACTCAATAAGAGACAATGTGGTTGCTGGCAATTTACAGCAAAAAGAATGCACATTATTCAGATTTTCATTTACTGGACTGTTAACATCTAACTGGCGATCACTCAATATTTATCGCCAGGACCGACCAAGAAGAAAGAAACGGAAACTTGTTGAAATACTTTACGCTGGAAATTCTATATTGTACCGAAAATTCAATATTGAATAAAGCTAATAATAATTCGGCTGAGCATTAGATCTTTATGCTCTAGAATATCATAGGCTGATAGATAACGTTTAATATCTTACACACCCTTGGACATTCCCTCTAGGACATGTATCCGAGTTCATTCGCATCATAGCTGTGTTTCAGGGATACCTTCTCCTTCAAAGTGGTCACGTCTCGACAGTTTCCACATTTAAGTTGATCCAAACGGCTTCCTTATCGACGTCTAAGGGAAATAGTATTATCTTCCTGATATTTCGAAGAATCGTCTTACGATATTTGAACAGTATTGATTTAGCCTTTAGATGTTTTTACGAGTCTTAACTTCGCCTAAGGTAGGTCGGCTGTCCTCGTAGAATAGAGGAGCTAGAGAGCCGGCTGAATCTCGGGGGTTCAGACGCACACTACATTCTTCATTTTCCAGAAGTGCCTGACTTTGTACTACAAGTGTCCCTCATAGCGAAAATGAATTAAGTAAATCTGTGACAGCTTAAGCTAGGTGGTCCAGAGTTGGCTGAGGACCTCTTGTTTATTTTGTACCAAGCGTTTACTCACTTTCTTATTTTGTGTAGGCATTATTTTTCCACCATCCTATTCCATGTTTAAAAACACATAAGCTGGCACTCCAAATTTACTGTTCCATGATTGATAACAATCATTCTCAACAGTAGTGTTTGACTAACAAATTATTTTATTATCTTCAAAAAATGCCATGGACAATCTGGGTTAGACTTTTTGGGGTATATATTGGTTTCAAGATATCTGGAGGAAGATTCATATTTTGATAGCATTTACGACATTATGTTCTGGATCGTAAGGGGTTTATACTTTAATTTGTGGAGCCTTCCGGTGTTTACAATGTTTGGTTAAAAATATGTGCTCAAGAGCATTTCATTATATCTCATCCTTTACTACTGCCCTGATTTTGTCGAATTCTATTCTTACATTTTCTAAACTGTTTTCATATTATTATTATAAATGATGTTTCCAGTGAGAATTCTTTATCATCATTCTTAATACACGCTTTTTTCTCAAGCCCCAGGTTGCTCATATTTGTTTTGCTTACGATGATGATTATAATTTTCTCATGTTTCATAGATCCCTTATTCCATAGATATTTGCTTAGAACTAAGCAATTTTCTGGTAACAACCCACTATACTAATATTCTAACAAATATTATATATATATTACTTGTAGAAACAAACTAGGTGAAACTAGTTCCTATACTGAACCAGTTGTCCTATTTATAACTCACTCTGGTTACTGTTACTTTCCTGTACCATACCTTGATACGCCTGGCCGCACGACTTCACCCTAGGATCTATAGTTGGCTACTAGATACATTATAATATAGGACCGTGGAACGAACTTAGCAGCTATGGTTGGTATTTTGGAAAGCCGATTCGAACCAATCTTACACTAAATATTCAACTAGGAATTTAACAACTTTGTGGCTAAAGTACATGTTTGTCAGACACGTTTCATAATCAATCATTTTATAAGCTTACACTCAGTTACATAATCCGGATAGTTTTGTGACTATTGGCATGATCTTTAGAGAAAATGTTAAACATAATGAAGAAAAAAATGATACAAAACAGCAAAGACGTTTGAAGGTATAAAATAACGAAGATGTATCAGCTTGTTGAATTATACCGCTTGTCTTTGACAATTTATATGTTCTATCCTACAGATCTGATCTAAAAAACCTAAGTCATTCAAGAAGGTTAATTCAAAATCTGAGGACTTCAAAACTTACAGGAATACTGTTTAAATCATTTAGCTACCAAAATTATTGCTCAAATGAGAGTATAAAACTAATATCAAATGGAGGAAACATAACTTTCTAAATAAATTCAAGCAATTTTTTTGTATATTTAATGTCATCAGTCATTCTATGGGGTTAACATGAATTCAGTTGATAAATCATCTGAAATACGAAAAGAATTTTTAGCTAGCATCTCACGTTCTTCTTCCCCATAGTCATCACCATCATGTTCTACTTTTTCATAAGGTAAATTTAAAAATAAATGTGGTAATTTGATATGAGGTAATTTCCTTTGTTTCATGGGTAAAGGTAGTATACATGACGACATTATTGGTATGAACCAATGTACTACTGAATTCGATCTTTTCTCTTCATCATAAATTAGTGAACATAAGAATTTGTGATAATTGTCTAAATCTTTACTATCCATTTCATTGATAACGCAAGGTATAATATGTTTTGAAATATTTCGTTTCTTTGAATTAGTTACATTCATTTGTAGTTTTTCAATTTCTGAAAGCTTTTGTTTTAAAGTTTCTTTAAAAGGTTGATGTTTATCAAATGGTAAAATATTACATTCTGTTGGTTTTATGTGTATTTTTGGTGGGAAATGTCCTGTTAATGCATTTTTATATGATATCCATGGTTGGGCATATGAAGGTTGAGTTGGATCGCGTAAACTTTGACTTTTCATAATATCTCCATGTTTTGTTTGTTGTACATTATTAATCCATGGTTGAAGAATATTCTTTGTTTTCTGTTAGATAAAAGGATGAGATTTAAACAAAGAAGTTTTTAAAGTTTATTCACATCACTGTTTTTAACCATGGTAAATAAACTGTAAGTCTAGTTGATGAAAAAAAGAGAAATATCGATTTTAACGAATGGGTTGGCAAATGATCATCAAAGAAGATATCTTTTTTACTCCTGATAAAACTATATCAATAAATAGTAACATGTGCCAGTAGAGTGAATGATAACAAAGTGAATAACATTTGCTAGTAAACATAAAAAGCTTGAAAACTTCAACTTTATATTTTATTTTATTTTTTTGGGAGGTTAATCTTATAAATGAAGGGTTAAATTATACAAGTTTGGTGGGTATTATAGTGAGCATCACCAGTTTCGAACTATTATTTGTGTCATAAGGTATGGTAAGACAGTCGAAGAGGTGAATTTCTAAATCATATGAGATGTTAATTGTACAATATTATTTCGGTAGATATTTCTTCATCATTGGCTTATGTCAATGCTATTGGGTTTAATTTTTATAATCATAGAAAACTACAAGGTTTTTGGAAAGATGCGTATTATTATCTGGATAACTTTTCAACTAACTTCATCTTGAATCAGTGACAAAATTACTTCCAAGAATTACGGATATCTTGATTACATTTCGACAGTTGAATCGTTTAGTAGGAACTCCGTGACTGATATGTTTTATTTCATCTGATCTGGAACCTAATAGCTCTCCTTACGTATAAGATTTTACCTGTTTTGCTGTTGACTTGACTATTCCAACAAGTGAAGGATTTCTCAATGGCATATCGACAAGTTTCTATCCGCAGTCAACAAATGAACGTTTGTTAGTGAAGTTACTAGTTTCAGGAAGCTGATTAATTTGACATATATTTTTATTGTTATGTAACACGAATAGAATGATCACCATTTCTCATTGAGAATAATTGATAGTAACAACTTTTGAATGCTGATAAATTGAATATCTTCTGACTCGATTTACTCTCAATGAAGTGATTACTTGTTAGTCATAATGTATCACGAGTTGTCTGTATTTGACATTATTTGGTAGAGAATCTTTTGACTAAGTTGATGACTAGTATCAATTTCGATTTTATAATTATGTCGAATATATAGTTTTCTTTCGGATACTTTTTTCATTTCCTCTTTCTGCTTAAAAATTCGCGTTTATTTTGTAGTTTCCCTCATAGAATTCAGGACAGCTGTTTCGTCACCGTTTGGGACACTTCAGGAGTACACATCTGATATGACAAGATTTCTGCTCATATTTACTTACGTTTTTAACTCAATGGGATGATTACTCAGTGTGATATTTGTTTTATTTTTAGTGTAGTGTTTATTCAAGACATTTTTTGTATTAATTTATCGTGAAATTCGTTCAGCATGAAGTGTAGCTCGGGTTTTTGTAGAAAATACATTTCTCCTGAGTACGGTAATTGTCAACTAATAATCATGTATTAGTAAAATCAACATATAAATGAATTAATTCACTAGATATTGTTTTTACTTGAATTTTCCCATTGATATTTTAGGACTGAAATTGATCAGTCTCTTATTGGCATATGTGCATACTGTGCGTATGCCTCGATATTGCCTTAATTTACAAGCATTATAAGCAAAGATGGATAGTGGCTAGCAGTGGAATCCAGGACGCGCGTTTCGTCACCATTGCACAAGCAAGTGGCTATCAGGACTCAGTAGCTAAGTGGATAACGCGATGGCGTTTGAAGCGAACGGTACTGAGTTCGAGTCCCAGAGTGGACATCAACTCTGAGATGCAGGTACATCCAGCTGACGAGTCCCAAACAGGACGAAACGCGCGTCCTGGATTCCACTGCTAGCCACTATCCATCTTTGCTTATATAAATGAATGTACTCATGAATCAATTTGATTTATTCTAAAGGTAAAATAAATTCTTATCATAAGCCTTGATGTTTTCACTGTGCTTCCTTGGATTCGGGGTTTCATCACCAATCACAAATCAGCTAGGCATTCAGCAGGCAAATATAACACCGTCTACGACCGTACTAGCGATTCAACTTAAGATCCTCAGTTCTCGCTGTGAACGCTTGACCTCTAGAACACTGAGTTGGGAACCAATAGTCTACATAGGTAATCTTAATTAATTTACTACCTTGCGTAATTATCTTCTAACGTTATCAGTGGATAACTGTCTGTCAGAGATCCATGATGCTAAGGAGTTACATATTGGGACGGCGAAATTGTCCAGTGCTTCCTGATTCCACTCGTTGCCTAATTTATGACGTAAAATATAAAATTCAAGAATCTCTACGAGCTCCACACATTGGATTTATTTGCTAATCAAAATTATGTTTAAATGTGATTCATGATCAGCAGTTTAAAATTTAAACAGGTTTCAATCAGTTTCCTTTTTGTTGGTAAATATCTAATTTACTTATTCAATAAATACAAGCACTGGGTCCAGCTACCGCTATACGTTTTAGTCATCATATTGCAAATACATTCTACTGATTAATGAATAAACACTTTGTAAATAATTTAAGCATCTATATATAATTAGTTATGACATGAATATTTGAGGACTGAGCACAACATTTTCAGTTTTGAAAACCTGAGACCATGGAAATTACCGGTATTCCAACGTGTTTTGCAATAAGACGTCTTTATGTAAGATTTCCGATTAATCGACAATTCCAATCTACTAGATTGATCGCAAAACAACCAGTAATATGTTATGAGATTGTCGTTATCAATCGCGAAAGGTCCTCGCATATAAGTATGAGGTTGTGGAGATTGTTAAATTGCATTTAAATCATGAACTTATAAGTTATATCACCATTGAAAACTTGAAAGTATTGAACGGCGGACTCATCTGAGTATGGAACTTCTCAGCAGTGAGTATCTACGATCCAGTACGTGGGAATAAAACACAGAGCCTTCAGGCTTGCTCGTGGACGCGCAACATTTAGACCATTGAGCCGACACCTAATGGTGTTAATACTTAAACTTAATTAATCCACAAAATTCCGTAACCATCTTCCATTATCTTCGGTGGGAAACTGCATCACACTTGATATAGATTAGCTCCATTGGTTGCGGATTCTCACTAGAACCTAGGAAATTTCCTCTCGAAGCTAGTTACTATTGAACACATTTATCTCAACTATATTCAACAGTGTGACCAGTATTATATTTTAAAACGGAAGAAATAGAACGATTTTAAAGCTTATTCAGCATTGTGTAGGTAGAAAAATGAAACATAACTTATGAGAATTTGAGAATATAGACAAAATGTTTGAATAAACTAAAATGATATGGCAAATTTAGGATAATTACTCGTCGAGTGTCTAACTATTTCTTTTTTGATTAATCTTCTATAATATTGTAAACACATATGGATATCTGCATTTGAATATGAGCCATGTTATTCTACGTAATACACCACTGATTTCCACTATTCAGTGAGTCCCAGTTTAAAATGCTAAAGACATTATAATGCACAACACTATTCAAGGTGGTTGATTAATTTGAGGAACCATCTTAGTAGATCCAAGTTTCACTAACCAATTATTCACCATGAAATTCATCATCCTAATTTCTCTCCCAACTGTTATCAGTCCATCACAGATGAAATATATCTCGAAAACCATCAGTAGAACAGATTTTGCATGCTCTCATCAGACAAGTAATTCAGCCTTGTAGTTTCAAAGAAGTTACTGTATCAGTAAACAATGAATCGTAAGTGTGATTTGGTTAGTGCTCGTTGTGTTGAACTTTAGGATCTGACTTCTTCCTTGTGTATGTTGAGGCCTACCGTTACAGAATATGCTGCTTCACATGCTGTCCTCAACTGCATTTGTTGGTGTGTATGGGATAGAGGAGCTAGATCACCTGGGTAGTGTTAATCGTGTAGCCGCATCCAAGCTGTCCATTGTGTTCGGCGCTTCGCCTGAGATGTGGAAGTCTTTATAACTCAGTCGACCACCAGAATGTGGAGAAGGGCCGAGAATGAGCGACCTTTTCTGACACCGTTCTTCATTTGGAATACATCTGCGAGTTGTTGAACTGTGATCCGTAATGTTGCGATGTGGTTGGTACACGATGGATCCTTACGGAATCCAACTTGTTGATCTCAGAGATGGCGTCTACTGAACATTTTATTCGATTCAACAACATTCTGTTGAGAAGCTTCCTGGTACCGTTAGTAGTGTGATGCTACTGTAGTTCCCACATTTGCTCAGATCTCTCTTTTGTACCTTGATGAGTCAGTCAGTCAGTCATTTACAACGTCGAACCAGGCACATACATGCATCGGTCCAAGTTGCCACACCCTATTAGCACAGCACGATGAACACTGGATTCACAGAAGCAGTTAACTCAATAGTGATATATATAAAGGAAAGATTTCATGTACGATATATTACAGAAAGAAAAATATGAAATAATTTCAATCTCATAGTTTAAAGGAAGACAGAGTGTACACACCTACGCCGTTGTGATCGATTCTGAGTTATGTCACCCAAGGTCTCCAACCATTGGCTACGATAGTCACGCGGATCCCAACCAAGTAGTCTGCATCTAACACCATGGCTCAAACCAGAAGTTAGTGACTTCAAGCACTAATGCCACGTTTTGTTTTGGCCGCCCCTCACTTTCTTCCAACCATCCCCAACACTGGTCAACATTGTATGCCGTGGTAACCGGTGTTTAGGCATATGCAACACGTGGCCCAAACATCTCAGTCGATGTAGATTCACAACCTCATCAACTTATCATCATTCCCTAATATCTTGCATCTAACCTCTCTATGGATTACTAGGTGATCCCAGCAGACACCAGCAATATGTCTAAGGCACCTGTGGTCAAATACTAGTATCTAACGAGTATCTTCTACTCTTAATGGCCATATTTCGCTGCCGTAAATTAAAACAGAACAAACCGCTGCGCACTATACTCGTCCTTTTATTGATAGACGGATATCTCACCTTCGCCATAGGTGACGTAAGTTGGCAAAAGCCGAACGAGCATTTCAAATTTGTGCTGAGGTTTCGTCACCGACCCATTACGGCTGATCAGACTTTCAAGATAAGTGAAGTTGTCAACGCGTTCGACTGCTTCACACCCTATCCTTAGTTCAGGTGTTGACTTAGGCCAGTCCTGAAGCAAAAACTTGCATTTACAGGGAGTGAAGCGCATCCCAAATATTCTGGCATTGTTTCTCAGTGCTACAAAAGACTCTGCATTTTATAAGTGTCTTCACCAAATAGGACTATGTCATCTGCGTATTCTAAGTCTATAAGTGGACCTCCCGGTAGGAGATCAATGCCAAAAAGTTCAGTCGACAAGAGCGTTATTTCCATCAGCATATCTATAATGAAATTAAACAAAAATGGAGAAAGTAGACAGCCTTGCCAGACACCTCTTGAGGTTGGAGTTGCACATATAATGTGGCTGTAAATTCTAAGAAAATGAATTCATTGAAAAATAACTTCATCAATATAATTCCTATTCTTCTCAACGTTAACTATGTTAATGCTTATGTTACAAGATAGACATCGTATATTGCCAAAAACTTTTTACTTAATAGTTAATGTACTTTAATACCAAGTATTAGATCACAGGTTCAACGTTAGCTTTACCTAACTTAGTTCTGTTATCTGGAAATAGTATTACCTATCTTTACAACTATATATACACTCGGTACCTGCTTCGGTTTGGGCACCCGGGCAGTATCACAGCCCTCACACACATCGAATGAGATTTGTGTGGCGCATATGTATTTGGTGCCTGCTTGTACCGATATCTATGTGTTAAAATAAATAAATAAATACACTCGGTACATGAATTACACTAACTAATGGAACATAGATTTAATGTACATAGTAAATAGGATTTACTACATGTCAGTTAATAGACATAACTTACACAACATTTACGTCTTTCAGTTACATGTGATTCACCTAAACGTACAACACATCTTTCTAATTCATTCAATGGTGGTAATAGCATAACCACTTTATGCTGTTGAACATCATCGTTATTGTTAACATTTTTCATTTGAATGACAGTTTCATTAAACTGTTGTTTCAATTTATCAATATGTAATTGTTCTACTTTAGCTTGTTCACGTAATTTCAGTAATCTTTGTTCATGACACCAATTAACAAATGTATTTAAAGCTTGTATACCATCACTTGTAATAAATTCTTCGCGAAACTCATTGGTATTTTTTGACCATTTCACTTCTCTATTTATAGATTTAATTTTAGTCGCTGAATTATTTGTTGCATGTAGAATACTTTTTAATTGATTTCCAAGTTTGGAAGATTTATTCTGAATGAATTATACAAGGCAGAAATTCATTAGTTATATGAAATAGTTAGAAACTATTTAATGAATTTGAATAGCTTTAATATACGCTTTGTTAAAGATATAAGATTCTATGGACTGGATATTTTAATCATTGTTGTAACATTAGAAAATTACTTGATTCACAAACATCATGAGTTGACATATTAAAGTTATTGTTATTTTTGTTATAAATTTGTGTGCATTATTGATTAAAAGCGTTGTTTACTAGCGGAAAAAGAAACAAACTCTAACGAGTAATTATTAATATGCAACATCTACTGAATATCTTAGTGACCATCATGACTCAATAGCTGGGTTAAAAATATATTGAATTTTAAAATAATTAGTAGTGGTTTCGAGTGTAGATGTCAATACTACAGTATAGGTTTAACCAACTAATGAGTTCTGAATAGGATGAAATGTGAATCCTCTATTTTACTAATAATCATAATGCTTTATTTAATTTTATAAATATCATAAACTATTAATGATTATCTGTAAATTATAAGAAATCCATACAAAATCATGTTCTGTTTTCTATCCAAAGGTTTTTATGAACACGATAAAGTAACTTGATGAGAAAGGTTTGTAAACTTTTTTTCAGTTGTAAACAAAATGATAAAAAACCTATTAAAAGTGAATGAAAAATTATAATTAGTTGCATTCCTTGCAACTAACTTTAATGTGGACCATCTAAAGATAATAATCAATTGAACACTTTAATAGCTAATTTAATGACTAAGTTTTCTTGGGTCGATCTTTCTGCATCAGATTTTATTTATATCTGTAGATCACTTGTAAGGAAATCATCAATCACAAAGCTATTTAGAGAATTGTATAAATTGAGAAATAATTATACAATGTATTCTGCACCAAAACCTAAACAATTATTTGATGGCAACTCGAACCAATGTACGCATGTACGTTCGACTAACCGACTGATATGTTTTCAATAAGTTAGACGATTAAGATAGTCATATTTTATACTAAGATAAGTTAGATCAAAATTCAGTCATGGTTCATATTTATACAATCAAACTATTAGAATCATTCAGATTTCTCATTTTGGTAACAACAGTCATCTATGAAATCTATGAGGTAATTTATTTACCATAAAATTGCTTAATATTAAAGTATTCTAGTGTTGAGTGGATATTTATCTCGGAAAATCTGATATTGAAATGATTTTATTTAACGATGTTTGATTCAGATTTCTAATCAAACGCTATCTGACGTAGAAATAACTCCGCCTGTATATTTATAGGGTTACTGCCGATTTCAAGCGTCGGTGAAAGACGAGGGTCGTGCATGAAGTCAGCATCCCTATCACTTAGAAAACAATCTTGCTAACAAGAAAGAACAAATAAGCCATTTAAGCTCTGTCATCCGAGTTGAAAAGATCCATTCCTTATGATGATGCTTCTTTAGGCCCAGAACCTCTTGACACGTTGAAGTTAATGCTTCTTTGATGCCTTTCCGGTTTTCCTCCATAGTAGTTTATTCTTTCTTCAGTAGATCCTGTAAGGCTTGGAACCTGTTTTTGAGAGCTATCACCTTAATGCTAACCGATGTCTATGTATGTGTAAGTGAAGGACGCATCAAATTTGTCAGGGCTCATGCAATTTATTTTATAAATGATGTTGTATTCGTTCTCTTTTACCGTTATATCCTTTGGTTTACATGAAATAAAATGACCTGAATGTACTGACAATAATGGGTGACATTGATTCTAAAAGGTTTTAGAATGCTTATGATGGCTGTCAAGATATTTTTTTACATATGATAGGACGATCTGCATTTTGTTCCTGATTTCTGAGCTTCATCTTGTGATGGTATATTGATTTGTTAGACGACTTTTGATGAAAAAGAAGAACTGATAACGAGTTTCTTCAATTTTTTTTGTGGTGAGACAGCTACATTATGTTTTGACTCTTCAGAATGAATGAATTTTTAAGCATTAGAATCTTAGCATTTTTTTGAATCCGTTAAGTATGGATAAGCACATCTTAAAAAGCTGCTCTACTTAGACTCTTTTATATACATGACAGTTAGCCGTATTTAAAATTTTAGTTAAACAGGCAACAATATTTTATTATATTCGGTATAAAGCAATCGGTAATGAGAAGATCGAGTTGATCACTAATACATGATGTAGTTGAGCCACACATTTAGAACAATTTGACACTACATATACTTGTCAAGAATTTTATGTGAACAGTAATAAACTTTAATTGAATAAAAAGTGTAATAAGCATGAAGTGATAATTAGAAATATAAGAGAGAAAAATTAAAATAATACAGAAAAAAAATTATCTTATCACATCGGTTCGCACATTGCCTAAAGATTATCAATGCAAAATCAAGGTTATAACACGTTAGATTCGGATTACTTAATAGCTAAATATTTTTTGTTATTAACGATTTCTATATAATACTATAGAGGCTGTATTAAGGTTAATTCTATAGCTTGTTTAAGTTGTTTGCTTTGCTACTTGAGAACATAGTTTTCTACTACTTACGTTTATCGGAGCATTTGATACTAGCTAAGCCATTTAAGTACTTGTTCCATAACTCTAGATTGCATTATTCAGTCGCTCCTCACTATGTATTCGTTTCTACATAAATGCAATGGGTTACGACATGTCATTTTATGTTATACTTTGGTGTGTGTGGATCCCTGAGCATTGTTTCTCTAAGAACAGTTAAGTTATCAGTATAAAATATTTTCTCGATAGTTACTTTTAATCTGTCTCAAAATTATTCTATCTGAGATTTCTCTAAATTTTAAAATGATATAGTCTTTTCTTTAGGATAGAATTAGGAAGCGGTTTTGATGTTAACTTACTTTAACACAGATTTATAACCTTCAACAGACATCCGGCCAATATCGATGTCTCAGTCTGGAGTTCTATATTTTCTTCAAGCGTATCTGCAGTACATAATCACTATATTCCATTGGAATAGAACCTTACCAGCCGTCAATCGTATTCAGACGAACAGAAACTGCGAAAGTCAAGATATTGTCCAGTCCAGGTTGGCCTTACATAAACTGATGGTTTTACAGTTCTATCCTCCTTTGGTTCAGAGTAATATTTAAAAATGGCAATCAGTTATTATTTTCTTCTTTATAAATAAGTAGAACATGATTCTGTACGTTATTGAGTCTATTTGATTATCCAATCACACAGAAATACCTATCAAATATGACTAGCATATCATCCATATGCAAGAATCTACAAAATGTAAGAGTAAATGACGAGTAATCCCAAAAGCATGCAGTCTCTTTATGTAGTAAGTCAGACGGACAATTTTCTTCGATAACAAAAAAACATGAGAAGACCAAGAAAGATCAGAGGAAATTGTTACACCAAGATAATTGACCTTCGAAGCTGTGGAGTGGAAAAGCAGTAGGATCAGACAACATACCATCTGAAACATTAAAGTCAGACATTGAAGTGACTTCAAAGATGCTTCACATCCTGTTTAGAAAGATTTGGAAGAAAGAACAAGTGCCGGTAGACTGGAAGGAAGGACACCTCATCAAGATACCAAAGAAGAGAAATCTGAGCAGATGTGGGAACTACAGTAGCATCACACTACTAACGGTACCAGGAAGCTTCTCAACAGAATGTTGTTGAATCGAATAAAATGTTCAGTAGACGCCATCTCTGAGATCAACAAGTTGGATTCCGTAAGGATCCATCGTGTACCAACCACATCGCAACATTACGGATCACAGTTCAACAACTCGCAGATGTATTCCAAATGAAGAACGGTGTCAGAAAAGGTCGCTCATTCTCGGCCCTTCTCCACATTCTGGTGGTCGACTGAGTTATAAAGACTTCCACATCTCAGGCGAAGCGCCGAACACAATGGACAGCTTGGATGCGGCTACACGATTAACACTACCCAGGTGATCTAGCTCCTCTATCCCATACACACCAACAAACGCAGTTGAGGACAGCATGTGAAGCAGCATATTCTGTAACGGTAGACCTCAACATACACAAGGGAGAAGTCAGATCCTAAAGTTCAACACAACGAGCACTAACCAAATCATACTTGATGAAGAAGCTATGGAAGAGGTGGAAAGCTCCATGTACCTGAGCAGTATCATGATAAACAAGGAGGATGTGATGCAAATATAAAGGCAAGGATTAGCAAAGCGAGACCGACATTCCTACAACTGAAGAAAATGTGGAACTCAAAGCATCTACAATGGATATATAACTGATGTTATTCATTAACAGTAACTCTATAAATTTCATTCATTAAAAACGCTCATACTAACAAAACAACTTTACACTCTTCTATCGAGTTTAGGAGAAGACGCTGAAGGTGGATAGATCATACTTTGAGGGAATCATCAATGTGCATTACGAAGCAAGTTCTAATTTGGAATCCTAAATGCAAAGGATGAAATGTAAGTTAAAGAACACAATGCCCAATGAATAGGAGGCAGCTATCAAAAGAACGATTGGTACCTAGAATCAACTGAAAAAGAGAGCATAGGACAGAGTTGGTTTATCTAAAGTTATTCGGCTATCTATGCTCCATTAGGGGTAACAGACGTCACAAAGGATGTAAGATGTAGAAATATTTACGTAGTTATAAACCACTATGTCTCTGGAAGATTCACATGACTGGATGCAATCAACTGATTTGAATATATATTGATAGAAAAGTTGTGTTGATCCCAATTCAAAAGTCATTTTTATCGTTTAATACAGGCCATCAGTAACGACTCTTATGGGCTTATGGCGATCGGCATTGTTTGAAAAACAAGAGTCTGATCAACAAATTTCCTAAACGTCCATCATTTGGCATCCTGACTTATCTGTCTAAGCGTGAATTACCACAAAGAAGTCTACAAGCAAAAATGGATGATGATTAGGAGTGGGATCTAGTAAGTACGTGTCGTCCCATTTTTGACTCATCAGCTGTATGTATCTGCATCCCAGATTCGCTGTTAGCTCGGAAACTCGAACCCAGTACTGTTCGCTTCAAATGCCATCGCGTTATCTATTTAGCTACTGTGAATAACGTAATGGCATTTGAAGCGAACAGTACTGGGTTCGAGTTTCCGAGTGAATAGCGAATCTGGGATGCAGGTACATACAGCCGATGAGTCAAAAATGGGACGAAACGTACTTACTAGATCCCATTCCTAACCATCATCCATCTTTGCTTATAATGCTTATAACTAGATGCAATATCGAGGCAACTCGCATAGGATACACATTGCTAATAAGGGACTGATCAGTTGCAATCCTAAACATCAATGGGAATATTCAAACAACTGATTTAAAAATGAATGAACAGAAAACTATGTTTGAACGATGTAAAATTTCAACAAACCTTTGATGCTATTTCACTGCTTTGTCTGAACCAATTCTCAAGCCACACAGATAATAATCTGTAAAATTTAATCCAACAGTTTAATGTTTCAATGTTCTCCACCAAATGAATACAATCATGTAGATGGATTACTTTTTTTGGTGGAGTGATTTTCAGATTTCTTTCGATATTTCCTAGTTTACTTAACTCTTCTTCAAGGTAACTGCAATATTTAATTTGAAATCCAAGTGACTGTAATGAACGATGAATATAGTGTGTTAAATTAGCATTTTTAATTTCTTCGGGAACCTGTGGATCATTTTTCTCGGTGTTTAGTAGAACTTTCACATACAAAACTAGTAAGATAACCACTGTATCAGTATCGTGGAAACCAAGTGTAATCAAAAGTGTGCTCACTGCTTCCAACATTTTCCATCTTTTGAATTCTACTGTTTTTCCTAATTCATTTATTATGCATCCTGTCAGGCAATGATGTAATTCGGGAATGTACTTGTCAGATAACTGATGATCTGTGTAAAGTGTTTTAAAATCTGTACAAAATTGGGAAATAGTCTGACAAAGATACGGATCTTCATCCTCTGTAGATGGTGAAGTTGCTTGTGAGCATAGTTTTGGTATAATATTTGTCCAAAACAGCCACTGAATAAAGCAGTCAACGTTAGAACCTGCATTAAAATCAGACCATCCTTCAGGTTCTTGACCATTTAGTAATCCCATAATAGAAAGCCATCTAGAATTTCTAAAGCATTGCAAGAACTCAGGCAGTACAAATATGTCGATTTTCCCTGGAGAATCTGTATTTCTGAATTCTGTCAAGAAAATAGTATTTTCTCGTTCATATTTTGGACGACCAGGCGCTTGTCTTTCAATTAAATTAGACAGTAAATCTGTTTCCTTCAAATAAGATTGCTTAAGATCACTTTTGGCTAGTGCTTCACGTTTTTTTGACGATGGTGTTGACTTTTCAGTTACAGACATTTGACTTTGTTCGATTTCAGTACTTATCTCATTTTGTAACGTTGATATACTAAATAAAGGATTCATTGAGTTGCTTATATCCTGGAATCTACTTGCAAGCAACTTTTTATCTCTATTCTCATCGGTTATATCTCCGTCACTCATTTCTTTACTGAACATTGTTAATTCTTTGTCTGATTCTACTATCCAACCTATACTCGAGTTCGAAGTTAGTGTACTTTCCAATCCGTTAATAGTCGACCTAGCTAATCTTGCTTCAACGTCAGCCCAATTGACTTCATTAACATTTCTTTTATCATCTACTCCTGAGTGAGTTAATCCTGAATAATATTTGCCAAGAAGTAAAGAGTTAGGCGCCCAGCCATACTTTGAACGTCCACTTTCAAGTAGAATAACTTTTGGAAAAAACCCATTTGTTCTTTGATTAAGAAGTAAATCCGACTCTTTATTATCAGTAATTATCGGCAATTTAATCGTCTCTTGGGGTTTTACAAAAGAAAGATCTTCACTTGATTGTGGTGATTTTTGCTTTTTATCAGTTTTGCGGTGTTTTGTAAGTTTTTCTTTGCTTGTTTTTCCTAAATTCTTCTTGACTGATGCTTCAGTTTGAATCTGTGAATACGTTTGCTCCATAGTTATCAATTTCTCTTTTAATAAAGTGATGTCTTCATCCTCTTCATTGTATAGTTCTTTCGAGTATGAAGTTAAATTTACACATTGTCTAGATAATATTTTTTCATAGTAACTGTTAAAAGCGATCCGTCTAACTTCTTGCATTGAAGCACAATCAATATGGGAACGGCGTTTTGAAAGAGTCTTTAAAAATTTAATTTGTGATATTTTCTTTAAATCTAAATCTCTTTCTTTGAGTTTAGTTAACATTTGTGATTTCTCTGACAAATTTTGTGCTGCTAACTTTTCTTCAAGTGAAAAGTCTATTGGTTGGCGAATGTTGCAAATCTATTCAAAGTTTGAAAAAACGTACACAATATTTTATCATTACGCATATAACTAAAAATTAACTAATAAACTGTAGAACTGTTGCTTGGTGCACTGAGACAAATGTTTAAAAATTTGAAAATCTCTCATCATCATTGATAAAAATAAAAATAATTAAATAATCTGGTGTAAATAAAAAAATTATTTCATTTTTCTCCAGTATAATAGTCATGTAAGCCACCTTAGTGGTCATAAGATTGAAGAAAGTGCAATTCAGTCGCTTCTATCATAAATTAGTATTACTGTGAATATATGAATAAAAACAGAACGATTATTTAATAGTCTAGGATCTTCAGTAACTGCGCTCTAATTTTTTTTTTTACCTCGAATTGTAATTCTTCAGTAAATCCTACTTTCTACTTATTTTGATGAAAGACTATGACAATTTAGGTTTCAAAAATGACTGTTAGTTAAATGTAACCAAGAAAACAGAATTTAACTATGAACAATAAATGAACCAAATTTTCAGGATAAAGTGAATTCACCTTGTTTCAAAAATTCTCATAAACTATAAACAGCTTAAGAAATAATAGTCTGGAATCTGATACAAAATATCAATCATATGATTATGATTTGCTAGGATTTGTGTGTTAAAATTCAATCGTAAAGAGTAGACGAGTAGAGGCTACAGCTACTAATAATCCCATTGAAAATACTTGGTTACGAAATCACACGACATAACTCTGAAGAATCTCTCATGGGGTAATGTGTAGGTTGTTGAGTTTGAAGTTCTACATTAAGGGTTGATTTTCATTAGAAAAGCACTGGAAATGAGGATTCCTTCACAGTGAGCCTCGAAGATCCTAACTGGATCGAATTCATGTTTTCAGGCTCCACAGCAAGCGTCTAGCATTTATATCAGAGTTGGAATTCAATGGTTTACATTACTAGCTTCAATCAATTCACTGAATTTTTCACTTTTTGTGTGTGGAGATTGATAAACTGCATTTAAATCATGAACTTATAAGTTATACCACCATTGAAAACTTGAAAGTATTGAACGGCGGACTCATCTGAGTATGGAACTTCTCAGCAGTGAGTATCTACGATCCAGTACGTGGGAAAAAAACACAGAGCCTTCAGGCTTGCTCGTGGACGCGCAACATTTAGACCATTGAGCCGACACCTAATGGTGTTAATACTTAAACTTAATTAATCCACAAAATTCCGTAACCATCTTCCATTATCTTCGGTGGGAAACTGCATCACACTTGATATAGATTAGCTCCATTGGTTGCGGATTCTCACTAGAACCTAGGAAATTTCCTCTCGAAGCTAGTTACTATTAAACACATTTATCTCAACTATATTCAACAGTGTGACCAGTATTATATTTTAAAACGGAAGAAATAGAACGATTTTAAAGCTTATTCAGCATTGTGTAGGTAGAAAAATGAAACATAACTTATGAGAATTTGAGAATATAGACAAAATGTTTGAATAAACTAAAATGATATGGCAAATTTAGGATAATTACTCGTCGAGTGTCTAACTATTTCTTTTTTGATTAATCTTCTATAATATTGTAAACACATATGGATATCTGCATTTGAATATGAGCCATGTTATTCTACGTAATACACCACTGATTTCCACTATTCAGTGAGTCCCAGTTTAAAATGCTAAAGACATTATAATGCACAACACTATTCAAGGTGGTTGATTAATTTGAGGAACCATCTTAGTAGATCCAAGTTTCACTAACCAATTATTCACCATGAAATTCATCATCCTAATTTCTCTCCCAACTGTTATCAGTCCATCACAGATGAAATATATCTCGAAAACCATCAGTAGAACAGATTTTGCATGCTCTCATCAGACAAGTAATTCAGCCTTGTAGTTTCAAAGAAGTTACTGTATCAGTAAACAATTAATCGTAGGTCAGTATATTGTTATTTCCGTGATGACTTTCAAACGTGGTTTCTGTATTAATGTTGAGATTGGTTATCAAGCAGTTTATTGCTGCTGATACGACGTCTCAGTTAATCAAGTATTTCCATATATCCAACTAGTTTTATTACTATTCTAAGGTCAGAAATCTTTCAAAACATCGGCTTGTACTCAATCTATTCAAACTTAGTAAGTTGTTCAGATTTATTTATCATGTGACTCACAATGGAATCCAGAACATGAGTTTCGTTCTTTTTTGGACTTCTCAGCTTTGTGTACACGCGTCCTAGTGTTGATGTTTAAGCGTGTGTCTTGGAGATTCCACAGCTAGCAATATGTCAAATGTGCCACAACTTATGACGTAAAACTATATCGAGACAATTGACTGAGAATGCTTATATATATCAACACAGACTGATAAATTGTAGTACAAAATATCACTAACGGGAAATTACAAAGTCTTATTAATACAATCATTTGTGTTCATTGACAAAACGTTGCATCCACCACATTGAAGTGTTACTTTTAAAATGGAATGTTCATGATATAATTTGGGAAAAAACAGAAATCCAACAATCCTTACATATTCGATTCTTGAGACTTGAAAGTCGTTAAAAGGAAAAATATGTTTAATTATTAGTCTTCTCATTAAATAACAGTGATAACGGAATTCGTAATTTAGTTAACAAAACTCTACATTAAGAATAGACGTTTTCATATAAATAATACCAATCATGAATATAATTTATTTTTGTTTTCAATTACTGATTCTTATACTTAAGGCATTTTGTATTATTATGAATTAGTAGTCTTTCTTTCTGATTTTGTAAAGAATTAGTATGATTAGTCGCTTTACTAAAAATAACATGATATAAATCCAATTGGTTGACTGAATGATAATAACTAATTGTGTAATGTAAGTCATTTACTTGTATGTTTATGATTTATTCACTTTGAGCATTGTCATTTCTTAAGTTATCAAATTGTAGATTGCAGATATGTTGAGGTTGACGTGTTTAATAGTAACTAAACATCTTAAATTTATTGATGGATACCCAGACATACTCAATATATAACAAATGATTTAGTATAATGCCAACGTTGTATGTTAAGGCTTAAAAACATTTTATTTAACGTCTGTCAACTATGTAGTATAATTTGCATGATAATAAATAGAGCTAATTAACATTTCAAAGAGTTAAAGTAGGGTATCAACAAAAGAGTGTAAAGTTGTTTTGTTAATATGAGTGTTTTTAATGAATGAAATTTATAGAGTTACTGTTAATGAATAACATCAGTTATATATCCATTGTGGTATACAAATCATAGATATACATATCGTAGAGTTGGGCTTTAGAAGCAGTTTACGCGATTGCAGCTGAATTTCATAAAACTTTCATGCCATTCAATAGAAAGCTGGTTCGTAGAGTTAGCATACGGCACTTGTGTTTAGCCGAACAATTAAAATCCACCAGCTGAAACCAACGTTATGTGTACGAGAGAAATGTGTCTAACATGTTGTGTAACACATCTGATGAAGATGAAGCAGTTTGTTGGTTTCCTCAATCTATGTGCTATCCATCTTCAGCATGTTCTCCTAATTTCCTCTTCATATGGAAGCTGGTTTATTCTCTCCCAGAGTGGAGTTTTGCTGATGCTATCCGACAAACGAACGTCCAGTCGACGTTGCGTAGACGATTGTTCACAAATACCTGTACACTGTTGACGATGGTTGTAGTAGTTCTCCAAGTTTCATCTCAGTATAATAGCACTTTCTTCACATTCGTATTGAAGATTTTGACTTTGATGTTGGCTGGCAGATGCTTTGAGTTCCACATTTTCTTCAGTTGTAGGAATGTCGGTCTCGCTTTGCTAATCCTTGCCTTTATATTTGCATCACATCCTCCTTGTTTATCATGATACTGCTCAGGTACATGAAGCTTTCCACCTCTTCCATAGCTTCTTCATCAAGTATGATTTGGTTAGTGCTCGTTGTGTTGAACTTTAGGATCTGACTTCTTCCTTGTGTATGTTGAGGCCTACCGTTACAGAATATGCTGCTTCACATGCTGTCCTCAACTGCGTTTGTTGGTGTGTATGGGATAGAGGAGCTAGGTCACCTGGGTAGTGTTAATCGTGTAGCCGCATCCAAGCTGTCCATTGTGTTCGGCGCTTCGCCTGAGATGTGGAAGTCTTTATAACTCAGTCGACCACCAGAATGTGGAGAAGGGCCGAGAATGAGCGACCTTTTCTGACACCGTTCTTCATTTGGAATACATCTGCGAGTTGTTGAACTGTGATCCGTAATGTTGCGATGTGGTTGGTACACGATGGATCCTTACGGAATCCAACTTGTTGATCTCAGAGATGGCGTCTACTGAACATTTTATTCGATTCAACAACATTCTGTTGAGAAGCTTCCTGGTACCGTTAGTAGTGTGATGCTACTGTAGTTCCCACATTTGCTCAGATCTCTCTTTTGTACCTTGATGAGTCAGTCAGTCAGTCATTTACAACGTCGAACCAGGCACATACATGCATCGGTCCAAGTTGCCACACCCTATTAGCACAGCACGATGAACACTGGATTCACAGAAGCAGTTAACTCAATAGTGATATATATAAAGGAAAGATTTCATGTACGATATATTACAGAAAGAAAAATATGAAATAATTTCAATCTCATAGTTTAAAGGAAGACAGAGTGTACACACCTACGCCGTTGTGATCGATTCTGAGTTATGTCACCCAAGGTCTCCAACCATTGGCTACGATAGTCACGCGGATCCCAACCAAGTAGTCTGCATCTAACACCATGGCTCAAACCAGAAGTTAGTGACTTCAAGCACTAATGCCACGTTTTGTTTTGGCCGCCCCTCACTTTCTTCCAACCATCCCCAACACTGGTCAACATTGTATGCCGTGGTAACCGGTGTTTAGGCATATGCAACACGTGGCCCAAACATCTCAGTCGATGTAGATTCACAACCTCATCAACTTATCATCATTCCCTAATATCTTGCATCTAACCTCTCTATGGATTACTAGGTGATCCCAGCAGACACCAGCAATATGTCTAAGGCACCTGTGGTCAAATACTAGTATCTAACGAGTATCTTCTACTCTTAATGGCCATATTTCGCTGCCGTAAATTAAAACAGAACAAACCGCTGCGCACTATACTCGTCCTTTTATTGATAGACGGATATCTCACCTTCGCCATAGGTGACGTAAGTTGGCAAAAGCCGAACGAGCATTTCAAATTTGTGCTGAGGTTTCGTCACCGACCCATTACGGCTGATCAGACTTTCAAGATAAGTGAAGTTGTCAACGCGTTCGACTGCTTCACACCCTATCCTTAGTTCAGGTGTTGACTTAGGCCAGTCCTGAAGCAAAAACTTGCATTTACAGAGGGTGAAGCGCATCCTAAATATGAAATCCCACTCTAATACAGACTAGTCAGAAGAGTTTATGCAACCTTTAAGAGTTTCAAAAATACTCAAGGTATACAGAATAAGATTACTACAAATTTTACTGAGTTATATTTCATGAATGGCATGAATCGAAATTGATTCCAGTTGGATAGGTATATTCATTCTCTATCTTCCTCCAAAATATTGAGTTGAATATCCTTATCAAGTTTTGATACCTCATTTTCATTTTTACTTTAAAGTTAGATTTCATGTGTTCAAATTTCCCTCTTATTAAGAATATTTCTTATTGTTTTGTTGTTCTAAAGTTCCTTTCGATTACCATATACACTTACTAGCATATACAAATCCCAAACTCAATGACTTATTTTTTATCGTAATCTATGTGTGACTTTCACGTATTGCACTGAATTTCTGTGTAAAACTAACACTAACAATTTATGATCAGAATAGGTGTTTGTGGAGATTGTATTAATCGTATTATTTAAATTCATGAGTCGATGTGAACGCTATTGGATGTCGGCTCAGTGGTCTAAAGGTTTGGCGTTTTCGTGCGACACTGAAGGTCCTGGGTTCGAGTCCCGCATGCAGGATAGTGGATGGGCACTGCTGAGGAGTCTCGTACTAGGACGATACAGCAATCCAGTGCTTCCAGGTCTTCGATGATGGTTTAATAGTGATCTATTCATGAATTCAACTACTAAAATTACTAACACTTTTGTTTTTAATATGTTATTTTTTCATGTTTTAAATTCAATCGCATTATGTCACCAATGTGAGTTTTAATCACCCGTTTTTGAAGTTAGACCACAACTAATACATATCAGTTTCATAAAAGATCGAGTTTATAACAAAATGGTAATTGTAAATTTACTTCAAAAGATACGTTAGATTTAACTGATCTCCCTAATAACGTTGATATTATGAAAGCGTTTATGGATTCTTTTAGTGTTGACTCTCTTCTAACTGATGTACTTTTTACTATTTTTGTTGATTTCCCCTGTTACGGTGTATCGGGTAATTTTCCTCTTTGTTTGAACTGAGCCAATACGATTGTAAAAACCATTTTCATTATGTATTGACAAAGTTCATTTTAAAAGTGAACATTTTAGACGAGTTGATGATATTGTTATGCCCACTAACTTGGGACCTCTCTTAGCCCATGTACAAGATAAATTGTTGAAAATATGACAACTGAGCCAATCAGCGAAGCAAACCTCATATAGGAGGTACATGAATGATATTCTAGTCATATTTGATAGGTATTTCTGTGTGATTGGATAATCAAATAGACTCAATAACGTACAGAATCATGTTCTACTTATTTATAAAGAAGAAAATAATAACTGATTGCCATTTTTAAATATTACTCTGAACCAAAGGAGGATAGAACTGTAAAACCATCAGTTTATGTAAGGCCAACCTGGACTGGACAATATCTTGACTTTCGCAGTTTCTGTTCGTCTGAATACGATTGACGGCTGGTAAGGTTCTATTCCAATGGAATATAGTGATTATGTACTGCAGATACGCTTGAAGAAAATATAGAACTCCAGACTGAGACATCGATATTGGCCGGATGTCTGTTGAAGGTTATAAATCTGTGTTAAAGTAAGTTAACATCAAAACCGCTTCCTAATTCTATCCTAAAGAAAAGACTATATCATTTTAAAATTTAGAGAAATCTCAGATAGAATAATTTTGAGACAGATTAAAAGTAACTATCGAGAAAATATTTTATACTGATAACTTAACTGTTCTTAGAGAAACAATGCTCAGGGATCCACACACACCAAAGTATAACATAAAATGACATGTCGTAACCCACTGCATTTATGTAGAAACGAATACATAGTGAGGAGCGACTGAATAATGCAATCTAGAGTTATGGAACAAGTACTTAAATGGCTTAGCTAGTATCAAATGCTCCGATAAACGTAAGTAGTAGAAAACTATGTTCTCAAGTAGCAAAGCAAACAACTTAAACAAGCTATAGAATTAACCTTAATACAGCCTCTATAGTATTATATAGAAATCGTTAATAACAAAAAATATTTAGCTATTAAGTAATCCGAATCTAACGTGTTATAACCTTGATTTTGCATTGATAATCTTTAGGCAATGTGCGAACCGATGTGATAAGATAATTTTTTTTCTGTATTATTTTAATTTTTCTCTCTTATATTTCTAATTATCACTTCATGCTTATTACACTTTTTATTCAATTAAAGTTTATTACTGTTCACATAAAATTCTTGACAAGTATATGTAGTGTCAAATTGTTCTAAATGTGTGGCTCAACTACATCATGTATTAGTGATCAACTCGATCTTCTCATTACCGATTGCTTTATACCGAATATAATAAAATATTGTTGCCTGTTTAACTAAAATTTTAAATACGGCTAACTGTCATGTATATAAAAGAGTCTAAGTAGAGCAGCTTTTTAAGATGTGCTTATCCATACTTAACGGATTCAAAAAAATGCTAAGATTCTAATGCTTAAAAATTCATTCATTCTGAAGAGTCAAAACATAATGTAGCTGTCTCACCACAAAAAAAATTGAAGAAACTCGTTATCAGTTCTTCTTTTTCATCAAAAGTCGTCTAACAAATCAATATACCATCACAAGATGAAGCTCAGAAATCAGGAACAAAATGCAGATCGTCCTATCATATGTAAAAAAATATCTTGACAGCCATCATAAGCATTCTAAAACCTTTTAGAATCAATGTCACCCATTATTGTCAGTACATTCAGGTCATTTTATTTCATGTAAACCAAAGGATATAACGGTAAAAGAGAACGAATACAACATCATTTATAAAATAAATTGCATGAGCCCTGACAAATTTGATGCGTCCTTCACTTACACATACATAGACATCGGTTAGCATTAAGGTGATAGCTCTCAAAAACAGGTTCCAAGCCTTACAGGATCTACTGAAGAAAGAATAAACTACTATGGAGGAAAACCGGAAAGGCATCAAAGAAGCATTAACTTCAACGTGTCAAGAGGTTCTGGGCCTAAAGAAGCATCATCATAAGGAATAGATCTTTTCAACTCGGATGACAGAGCTTAAATGGCTTATTTGTTCTTTCTTGTTAGCAAGATTGTTTTCTAAGTGATAGGGATGCTGACTTCATGCACGACCCTCGTCTTTCACCGACGCTTGAAATCGGCAGTAACCCTATAAATATACAGGCGGAGTTATTTCTACGTCAGATAGCGTTTGATTAGAAATCTGAATCAAACATCGTTAAATAAAATCATTTCAATATCAGATTTTCCGAGATAAATATCCACTCAACACTAGAATACTTTAATATTAAGCAATTTTATGGTAAATAAATTACCTCATAGATTTCATAGATGACTGTTGTTACCAAAATGAGAAATCTGAATGATTCTAATAGTTTGATTGTATAAATATGAACCATGACTGAATTTTGATCTAACTTATCTTAGTATAAAATATGACTATCTTAATCGTCTAACTTATTGAAAACATATCAGTCGGTTAGTCGAACGTACATGCGTACATTGGTTCGAGTTGCCATCAAATAATTGTTTAGGTTTTGGTGCAGAATACATTGTATAATTATTTCTCAATTTATACAATTCTCTAAATAGCTTTGTGATTGATGATTTCCTTACAAGTGATCTACAGATATAAATAAAATCTGATGCAGAAAGATCGACCCAAGAAAACTTAGTCATTAAATTAGCTATTAAAGTGTTCAATTGATTATTATCTTTAGATGGTCCACATTAAAGTTAGTTGCAAGGAATGCAACTAATTATAATTTTTCATTCACTTTTAATAGGTTTTTTATCATTTTGTTTACAACTGAAAAAAAGTTTACAAACCTTTCTCATCAAGTTACTTTATCGTGTTCATAAAAACCTTTGGATAGAAAACAGAACATGATTTTGTATGGATTTCTTATAATTTACAGATAATCATTAATAGTTTATGATATTTATAAAATTAAATAAAGCATTATGATTATTAGTAAAATAGAGGATTCACATTTCATCCTATTCAGAACTCATTAGTTGGTTAAACCTATACTGTAGTATTGACATCTACACTCGAAACCACTACTAATTATTTTAAAGTTCAATATATTTTTAACCCAGCTATTGAGTCATGATGGTCACTAAGATATTCAGTAGATGTTGCATATTAATAATTACTCGTTAGAGTTTGTTTCTTTTTCCGCTAGTAAACAACGCTTTTAATCAATAATGCACACAAATTTATAACAAAAATAACAATAACTTTAATATGTCAACTCATGATGTTTGTGAATCAAGTAATTTTCTAATGTTACAACAATGATTAAAATATCCAGTCCATAGAATCTTATATCTTTAACAAAGCGTATATTAAAGCTATTCAAATTCATTAAATAGTTTCTAACTATTTCATATAACTAATGAATTTCTGCCTTGTATAATTCATTCAGAATAAATCTTCCAAACTTGGAAATCAATTAAAAAGTATTCTACATGCAACAAATAATTCAGCGACTAAAATTAAATCTATAAATAGAGAAGTGAAATGGTCAAAAAATACCAATGAGTTTCGCGAAGAATTTATTACAAGTGATGGTATACAAGCTTTAAATACATTTGTTAATTGGTGTCATGAACAAAGATTACTGAAATTACGTGAACAAGCTAAAGTAGAACAATTACATATTGATAAATTGAAACAACAGTTTAATGAAACTGTCATTCAAATGAAAAATGTTAACAATAACGATGATGTTCAACAGCATAAAGTGGTTATGCTATTACCACCATTGAATGAATTAGAAAGATGTGTTGTACGTTTAGGTGAATCACATGTAACTGAAAGACGTAAATGTTGTGTAAGTTATGTCTATTAACTGACATGTAGTAAATCCTATTTACTATGTACATTAAATCTATGTTCCATTAGTTAGTGTAATTCATGTACCGAGTGTATTTATTTATTTATTTTAACACATAGATATCGGTACAAGCAGGCACCAAATACATATGCGCCACACAAATCTCATTCGATGTGTGTGAGGGCTGTGATACTGCCCGGGTGCCCAAACCGAAGCAGGTACCGAGTGTATATATAGTTGTAAAGATAGGTAATACTATTTCCAGATAACAGAACTAAGTTAGGTAAAGCTAACGTTGAACCTGTGATCTAATACTTGGTATTAAAGTACATTAACTATTAAGTAAAAAGTTTTTGGCAATATACGATGTCTATCTTGTAACATAAGCATTAACATAGTTAACGTTGAGAAGAATAGGAATTATATTGATGAAGTTATTTTTCAATGAATTCATTTTCTTAGAATTTACAGCCACATTATATGTGCAACTCCAACCTCAAGAGGTGTCTGGCAAGGCTGTCTACTTTCTCCATTTTTGTTTAATTTCATTATAGATATGCTGATGGAAATAACGCTCTTGTCGACTGAACTTTTTGGCATTGATCTCCTACCGGGAGGTCCACTTATAGACTTAGAATACGCAGATGACATAGTCCTATTTGGTGAAGACACTTATAAAATGCAGAGTCTTTTGTAGCACTGAGAAACAATGCCAGAATATTTGGGATGCGCTTCACTCCCTGTAAATGCAAGTTTTTGCTTCAGGACTGGCCTAAGTCAACACCTGAACTAAGGATAGGGTGTGAAGCAGTCGAACGCGTTGACAACTTCACTTATCTTGAAAGTCTGATCAGCCGTAATGGGTCGGTGACGAAACCTCAGCACAAATTTGAAATGCTCGTTCGGCTTTTGCCAACTTACGTCACCTATGGCGAAGGTGAGATATCCGTCTATCAATAAAAGGACGAGTATAGTGCGCAGCGGTTTGTTCTGTTTTAATTTACGGCAGCGAAATATGGCCATTAAGAGTAGAAGATACTCGTTAGATACTAGTATTTGACCACAGGTGCCTTAGACATATTGCTGGTGTCTGCTGGGATCACCTAGTAATCCATAGAGAGGTTAGACGCAAGATATTAGGGAATGATGATAAGTTGATGAGGTTGTGAATCTACATCGACTGAGATGTTTGGGCCACGTGTTGCATATGCCTAAACACCGGTTACCACGGCATACAATGTTGACCAGTGTTGGGGATGGTTGGAAGAAAGTGAGGGGCGGCCAAAACAAAACGTGGCATTAGTGCTTGAAGTCACTAACTTCTGGTTTGAGCCATGGTGTTAGATGCAGACTACTTGGTTGGGATCCGCGTGACTATCGTAGCCAATGGTTGGAGACCTTGGGTGACATAACTCAGAATCGATCACAACGGCGTAGGTGTGTACACTCTGTCTTCCTTTAAACTATGAGATTGAAATTATTTCATATTTTTCTTTCTGTAATATATCGTACATGAAATCTTTCCTTTATATATATCACTATTGAGTTAACTGCTTCTGTGAATCCAGTGTTCATCGTGCTGTGCTAATAGGGTGTGGCAACTTGGACCGATGCATGTATGTGCCTGGTTCGACGTTGTAAATGACTGACTGACTGACTCATCAAGGTACAAAAGAGAGATCTGAGCAAATGTGGGAACTACAGTAGCATCACACTACTAACGGTACCAGGAAGCTTCTCAACAGAATGTTGTTGAATCGAATAAAATGTTCAGTAGACGCCATCTCTGAGATCAACAAGTTGGATTCCGTAAGGATCCATCGTGTACCAACCACATCGCAACATTACGGATCACAGTTCAACAACTCGCAGATGTATTCCAAATGAAGAACGGTGTCAGAAAAGGTCGCTCATTCTCGGCCCTTCTCCACATTCTGGTGGTCGACTGAGTTATAAAGACTTCCACATCTCAGGCGAAGCGCCGAACACAATGGACAGCTTGGATGCGGCTACACGATTAACACTACCCAGGTGACCTAGCTCCTCTATCCCATACACACCAACAAACGCAGTTGAGGACAGCATGTGAAGCAGCATATTCTGTAACGGTAGGCCTCAACATACACAAGGAAGAAGTCAGATCCTAAAGTTCAACACAACGAGCACTAACCAAATCACACTTACGATTCATTGTTTACTGATACAGTAACTTCTTTGAAACTACAAGGCTGAATTACTTGTCTGATGAGAGCATGCAAAATCTGTTCTACTGATGGCTTTCGAGATATATTTCATCTGTGATGGACTGATAACAGTTGGGAGAGAAATTAGGATGATGAATTTCATAGTTGAGATAAATGTGTTTAATAGTAACTATCTTCGAGAGGAAATTTCCTAGGTTCTAGTGAGAATCCGCAACCAATGGAGCTAATCTATGTCAAGTGTGATGGAGTTTACCACCGATATGACATGCATTACGCAAATCATCAAACTGCTTCACGAGGCAAGCCCTAGCTTGGAATCCTGAAGGGAAGCGGAAAAGAGGAAGACCAAAGAACACATTACGTCGGATAATAGAAGCAGATATGAAAAGGATGAATAACAACTGGAAGGAGCTGGAAAGGATTGCTTAGGACAGGGTTGTATGGAAAATGCTGGTGAGCGGCCTATGCTCCTTCATGAGGTGTAACAGGTGTAAGTAAGTAAGCTGTATATCTTCGTCAACAAGCAAATTATTGCTCATTTCTCTTAACATATGCAACTAATTAATCAGTTGCTTAAGAAATCGGTACAAATTGTCGTTTTTAATTTAATATAAACCATAAACGCGTCATTATATCATAGCTCAAGACGTTTTCAATACATATGTGTATTTATCATCGTCAATATGAAGATAAATCCATATTGCATATGACTTATGACAGGTGTTTATAGGTGTCACAAGACGGTAAAATGAGATTTATAATAAAATAGCCAGACTGATTTTTCAATTTCCAGCTGATCTGTCATTAATCTTTATGCATAAATATTTTAGGGTAATAGATAAATTCTGTATAACGTCATTTTTGACATTATCATGACGGCAAAAGTCCTGACATATAATCATTCGAATATGAGTGCTGCTGAAGAATTTTAAATCACAATGAAACTTATGTGGCCAGCCGATCTGACCCCGATTTAGATGAATGTACGAATATACTATGAACACAAATCTTCCATTTAATTTCGTATACTAACTAGGCTAATCCCGTGTGTGAAAGCCGAATGTGGATTGCGTTGAAAGGATTTATTTAAAGCATTTGTTTATTCAAACAGGCGTTCACGATAATAAGCGGAAAAGGCAAAGCCAACTCCGTTTTGACAAAGCGTGGCTCAATATCTATAGTCAGACAAAAATGGGCTACAGATATGTAATGAGTTGTTTGAGCAATTCACGCACATACGCTCATATAAAAACAGTCAAGGTTAATTAGCGATTAATTGATAAGGTCAGAATGTGACTCAAGAAGAAGGAATAAAATGGTCTATTCAGAAGCTGAGATAACCCGTGTGGACTTGAAATAATATCAGACACTACAAAGCTCCCATACAGTTTGAAGTCCTTAATTTCGAACTGGTCCTTTTATAGGTGTCATTTTATGAAGATAATCACTTTTAAATATATGTATTTCTAAAGCAGATAGTCAGCATTCTCGATATATTTAATAAACATGGTAGTTTCTTCTTTCTTCAGTAGATCCTGTAAGGCTTGGAACCTGTTGTTGAAAGCTATCTTGAATTCATTGAGTCTGTCAGTATCTCGAAGGAAGGCTGTATTGAACCTTTGTAGTGCTGTATGTTTATTTGTCCAGTTCTTCTTTAGCTTCAGTTTTAAATTGGTCACAACTAGGTGGTGATCTTAAGCCATGTCAGCGGCTCTCCTGCTTCTTACATCTTCCATTGTCCTTCTGAACCTTTTATTGATGCAAATATGATCTATCTGGTTCTCTGTAGTGTGGTCCGGTGAGATCCATTTAGCTTTGTGAATACGCTTGTGTGGAAATATTGTGCCGCCTATCACCAATTTGTTGAATGCACATAGACTTACAAATCTTTCCCCATTTTCGTTTCTTTCTCCCAGTTCATGTCATCTCCTGATATCTTCATATCCGGTGTTGTCTATTCCAACTTTGGCGTTTGGATCTCCCATCAGAATGGTGAGGTCCTTTCTTGGGAACTTATCTATGATTGATTGCAGCCTCTCATAGGATTGGTCTTTAATGTCGTCGTTGCTATCATTGGTGGGTACATAACATTGGATAACATTCATTGTGATCCCCTCCTTCCTTGTTTTGAACGATGCTTTGATGATTCTGGATACGTCAGATTCCCATCCTACAAGTCCATTTTGTTCCACTTTGGACAGCATTAGAGCGACTCCCTGGGTGTGTAGAGCATTTTCCTCTTCGTGACCGAAGTATAGTAGCATCTCTTCGGTAGTTAGATTTTGTTGTCCAGCTTGGGTCCAACGCATTTCGCTGATTCCCAGTACTGCCAAGTTGTATCGCCTCATTTCAGTTGTTACTTGACTGGTCTTCCCGGTCTCCCACATTGTTCGGACGTCCCATGTACCTATAAAAATTGTTGCTCTGGTTGTTAGAAGGGGCATCGGCCTTGTGGCTTCTGAAGGAACTCGGCTTTCACCATGAGGCGTTCTAGTTCTTCTGAATTAACCCCCTTTAACTCCCAGGGCAGAGTTAAAATGGTTTGAATTATTTTTTTGGTCAGTGTGTTTTAGCGAGTTAGTTTTCTACGGGATGGGGACGCTAACCCCATGCCCAACCCTCCTCCTTTACCCGGGCTTGGGACCGGCAGTAACTCTAGAGGAGCTACAGGTGGAGTTATATACAGCTTAGGTATGTATTATATTATCTATGCCAAATATATGAGTTTCAGACTTCTCGTTATCATTTTTGACACTATTGTTGCCTCTACCTTATTTAAAATTGAGTTTCTGGGTTATTCCACACGTCTTACATCAGTTTGTTTGAATGTCTTTGTTTTGTGGTTTTTTGTTTCCACTTACTTTTGCATTTATATCGAATGTCATTTTCAGTTGTCCTGCGACCCTGAAATTGATTAACCTCTTCTGTATGGGTCGATAGATTAAATCTATGTTAATGTGTTTATTGATTGCCAATCAATCAAAATGCCATATTGCTAAAAATTCTCTGTTATTTAGAATTTTCTCAATCCAGAATTTATATGTTGTTCATCATTATTCACAAGCATTGACACCAGTCACCTTAATGTTAACCGATGTCTATGTATGTGTAAGTGAAGGATGCATCAAATTTGTCAGGGCTCATGCAATTTATTTTATAAATGATGTTGTATTCGTTCTCTTTTACCGTTATATCCTTTGGTTTACATGAAATAAAATGACCTGAATGTACTGACAATAATGGGTGACATTGATTCTAAAAGGTTTTAGAATGCTTATGATGGCTGTCAAGATATTTTTTTACATATGATAGGACGATCTGCATTTCGTTCCTGATTTCTGAGCTTCATCTTGTGATGGTATATTGATTTGTTAGACGACTTTTGATGAAAAAGAAGAACTGATAACGAGTTTCTTCAATTTTTTTGTGGTGAGACAGCTACATTATGTTTTGACTCTTCAGAATGAATGAATTTTTAAGCATTAGAATCTTAGCATTTTTTTGAATCCGTTAAGTATGGATAAGCACATCTTAAAAAGCTGCTCTACTTAGACTCTTTTATATACATGACAGTTAGCCGTATTTAAAATTTTAGTTAAACAGGCAACAATATTTTATTATATTCGGTATAAAGCAATCGGTAATGAGAAGATCGAGTTGATCACTAATACATGATGTAGTTGAGCCACACATTTAGAACAATTTGACACTACATATACTTGTCAAGAATTTTATGTGAACAGTAATAAACTTTAATTGAATAAAAAGTGTAATAAGCATGAAGTGATAATTAGAAATATAAGAGAGAAAAATTAAAATAATACAGAAAAAAAATTATCTTATCACATCGGTTCGCACATTGCCTAAAGATTATCAATGCAAAATCAAGGTTATAACACGTTAGATTCGGATTACTTAATAGCTAAATATTTTTTGTTATTAACGATTTCTATATAATACTATAGAGGCTGTATTAAGGTTAATTCTATAGCTTGTTTAAGTTGTTTGCTTTGCTACTTGAGAACATAGTTTTCTACTACTTACGTTTATCGGAGCATTTGATACTAGCTAAGCCATTTAAGTACTTGTTCCATAACTCTAGATTGCATTATTCAGTCGCTCCTCACTATGTATTCGTTTCTACATAAATGCAGTGGGTTACGACATGTCATTTTATGTTATACTTTGGTGTGTGTGGATCCCTGAGCATTGTTTCTCTAAGAACAGTTAAGTTATCAGTATAAAATATTTTCTCGATAGTTACTTTTAATCTGTCTCAAAATTATTCTATCTGAGATTTCTCTAAATTTTAAAATGATATAGTCTTTTCTTTAGGATAGAATTAGGAAGCGGTTTTGATGTTAACTTACTTTAACACAGATTTATAACCTTCAACAGACATCCGGCCAATATCGATGTCTCAGTCTGGAGTTCTATATTTTCTTCAAGCGTATCTGCAGTACATAATCACTATATTCCATTGGAATAGAACCTTACCAGCCGTCAATCGTATTCAGACGAACAGAAACTGCGAAAGTCAAGATATTGTCCAGTCCAGGTTGGCCTTACATAAACTGATGGTTTTACAGTTCTATCCTCCTTTGGTTCAGAGTAATATTTAAAAATGGCAATCAGTTATTATTTTCTTCTTTATAAATAAGTAGAACATGATTCTGTACGTTATTGAGTCTATTTGATTATCAAATCACACAGAAATACCTATCAAATATGACTAGAATATCATTCATGTACCTCCTATATGAGGTTTGCTTCGCTGATTGGCTCAGTTGTCATATTTTCAACAATTTATCTTGTACATGGGCTAAGAGAGGTCCCAAGTTAGTGGGCATAACAATATCATCAACTCGTCTAAAATGTTCACTTTTAAAATGAACTTTGTCAATACATAATGAAAATGGTTTTTACAATCGTATTGGCTCAGTTCAAACAAAGAGGAAAATTACCCGATACACCGTAACAGGGGAAATCAACAAAAATAGTAAAAAGTACATCAGTTAGAAGAGAGTCAACACTAAAAGAATCCATAAACGCTTTCATAATATCAACGTTATTAGGGAGATCAGTTAAATCTAACGTATCTTTTGAAGTAAATTTATAATTACCATTTTGTTATAAACTCGATCTTTTATGAAACTGATATGTATTAGTTGTGGTCTAACTTCAAAAACGGGTGATTAAAACTCACATTGGTGACATAATGCGATTGAATTTAAAACATGAAAAAATAACATATTAAAAACAAAAGTGTTAGTAATTTTAGTAGTTGAATTCATGAATAGATCACTATTAAACCATCATCGAAGACCTGGAAGCACTGGATTGCTGTATCGTCCTAGTACGAGACTCCTCAGCAGTGCCCATCCACTATCCTGCATGCGGGACTCGAACCCAGGACCTTCAGTGTCGCACGAAAACGCCAAACCTTTAGACCACTGAGCCGACATCCAATAGCGTTCACATCGACTCATGAATTCAAATAATACGATTAATACAATCTCCACAAACACCTATTCTGATCATAAATTGTTAGTGTTAGTTTTACACAGAAATTCAGTGCAATACGTGAAAGTCACACATAGATTACGATAAAAAATAAGTCATTGAGTTTGGGATTTGTATATGCTAGTAAGTGTATATGGTAATCGAAAGGAACTTTAGAACAACAAAACAATAAGAAATATTCCTAATAAGAGGGAAATTTGAACACATGAAATCTAACTTTAAAGTAAAAATGAAAATGAGGTATCAAAACTTGATAAGGATATTCAACTCAATATTTTGGAGGAAGATAGAGAATGAATATACCTATCCAACTGGAATCAATTTCGATTCATGCCATTCATGAAATATAACTCAGTAAAATTTGTAGTAATCTTATTCTGTATACCTTGAGTATTTTTGAAACTCTTAAAGGTTGCATAAACTCTTCTGACTAGTCTGTATTAGAGTGGGATTTCATGAAAGTTCAAACATTCAAATGGACTCGTGAATAATCTATTCAATGATTTTTAAATGTCATGTAGTTTGCATATTTTCACACTGCTTCACCAGTTTCGAGTTTGATCAGCTGCTTGTTTATGTCGAAAATAACTGTTCTATAAAATGTCGTATTCGATTTCCTAATATTGAACTGTCAAATATTAGGACATTTCACAACGAGTTTAGCTTCAGAAGATAATGCGAACTTTAACTTGCAGCTTGTATAATTGATGTCAGATTGCATTTAAAGTAAATATTGCCCTACCAAATGCCTTTTTATATAACTCAGAAGCTAAACAAAACAAAATGTAGCCAGTTTTTGAATGAATCATCAGTAACATATATTGAACACTAATTAGCAATAGAAAAAACTTACCAAAGACAAAGCTACATCATTCATTTTCTTTAATCTATCTACATTCCATTCCCTTTTTCTTATTACGTTTTGTAATATTTCTGGAATTATCTTAGTTTCAGTAGACTGATTCATTAAATTTAATAAATAAGATCTTAATTTAAAATACTTATTCAATGTTTTATAGTGAAGTAAATATACACTATTATTGATTGTCAATAAAATATCACCATTTAATTGAATACCAACGATTCTACAAACAGCTTTAGAGATTCTTGGTCCGGTTGGAAATGGTAATCTAAGTGTATTTATCAACTGTAGACTACATTTTAAACAGACGATATTAGTGTCTCCACTGTCAACTAACATTTGTAGACGTTGTAATGCTTTTGTAGACGTTCGTTTCAAACTGTTAGAGTTTCTGACAGGATATTCATTTCCCATATTGTAATCAAATGTTGTTCGCCATACTTTTAAATAAAGGCTTTCTTGTTCAACAGGATCAGTAGTTACTGTTAGAAATATTTGTTCAATCATGGGTGATTTTTCATAACGTTTGTTTAACATGCTTATATTTGTTAAGCCAATACAAACATCTTTAACCAAAGTTGTATTCTCATGGTTTAAATAAGCTGAATCAAAATAACGTGATGTTATGAAATTGAACATAGAATAAGCATCACCTGGATTAGCCACTTCAGCACAGATTACATTGTAAAAACAAGAATTAGTCACACAATTAATATCAGTTTCCTTTACTTTGGGAAATGAATAATTCTTAGCTGTATAAATGCAATAGATGTCAGTATTATTAATAATTTTAAATGGAAAACGCGTGAAATATGCACGTAAATTTGGTTTATTCCTTTGAAAAATGTCCAGTTTTTGTATTTGCACACCGATTGGTAAAGGTGTAATCAATTGCCATACTTTTAATGTTCCATCTAAGGTAATAATGTATAATCTCCCGAATATCGGATTTGATCTAATTGATGATATATGTTGTTTCTGATCAACTTCTGGAGGATTATCTGATTTGCAAAGTAAACAAAAATGATTTATTAACTTACATGAGTGATGGGTCTATCATTTAGAAAACAAATGAAAGTCGAGATTTTGACAATTATTTTGTTTTAATTTCCAACTGTTTATCAACATACATCCTATTTTCTATGCAGGACCATGAACAGGATAAATTTTGGTGGCGACGAGTTTTCTAAGGAGGATAGTCTAGTCATGGAGCCTTCAATGTCCTTATAGAGATCATCAGCACTGATGTAAGCGAAGATATGTTGTGGAGTTTGACAATGAATTGGTGTTCGTGCAGATGAATAGTGTAACCCTTTTACCTGATGCAGTTTCTTTCAGCTGGAGCCCATTTTTATTCAAATTTCGTTCCGGTGATGTTATTTAAAAGTAAAGATACATAGTTGCGTTACTTACAAACTTCAAGTAATATAACATTCGACACAATATTATGTTTTTCTTCGGAAACAATTTACTATTTTCCATAAGTTTCTGACCAGTTAAATTAACCGTATTCTAAGGTCAGTTGCGCTGTTTAGTTGAAATAGAATAAAGATGAATTTAAATTTTCGAGTAATATACCTGAAATGAGAAACTTTCAATCATTTGATGGGTGATATTTCTAACTACTTTAAAAGTCGATTTCAGTAGGTAGTTACAGAACGGCCATTAAAAATGAAAAGTATTAATCAAATCTCATGCGTAATTATTTGGATTGATGTCAATATTTATCCATTTACTCACTTGTTATTATATTTGGTTCATTTAAATTCCAACATGGGTCCTAAAAGATCCATTCAATGAATAAAGATGTCTGAAAGACGGAAAGGCAAGTTAACGATCAAGCTGTCCAAGTAAAATATCACGATGTTTGCAGATTGTCAAAAGGTCATTTTGTTGGTGAAACATCATCCATATCATATTCAGGAAATTTTAATTCATTGTCTTATTTAATCGGAACCGATTCTTTGCTACATTAGTTTTACGTATTAGTATTCTTTGATAGCTATTTACATATCAAGTTATTCGTGTCAAGGTAAAAACCTATTTTTAAACATGCGATTCTGATTTCTATCTCATATAGAGTGGTCTAAATGATGTAATAAGTTGAAGGTGACCAAATAGTTTAATAAAGCAAAAACAGTTACTTACTTGAAGATTTTATCGTTGAATACTTTGGAGCTTTGCTCATTACGACTCCTTCTTTAGTACATAATACAACTAAAGATCCATCGGACTGACCAACCAATAGTAACAAAATAACCGGTGGTAAACAATCGCTGGATATGTCATCTTCCAAAAATAGCTTGAAGTAATCTGGGCAATGTACTGGGTAAAGTAAGAGTGGTCCACGGTAAAACACATCATGGTCAGATGATGACCATATAGAAAGTAGGTTACATGGTCGACTACAAGTGGAAAATACAGCGATGTCTCCGTTCTGAAAGTGTTAATAAAATGTAATAAGTTCAAGGTAAATAAACCAAATATAGGTGATTGATTTACAATCAATATGGTGAACATAGATTATGGAATTCGAATTGCTTTTTCACTTATATTTATTTAACTGCCCAAATGTACTAAACCGAAAAGGAAAACAATAGTTTTTGGGTGAATTTTATAGTAAAGATCAGATAATGTTTTGAGACCGTGTCAAACAAACCAGTGAATTTAATGACGAATTTATAAAATGATAAAAAAACTACATGGTACTTGTAAAACATTCTCCCCTGGTTCGAGACACTAAAATGATACGTTTTTACAGTCTTCATCGGAACAATAATGTAGTTTACTTAGATTTTCAATGGTTTAACAAAAAGTTATCTACTGAGAACCATAATTAATGTAAGTTTTTTTAGTCAATTAGAATTACACTGAAGACGAAATTAATTTTCTTAACATCTATACCAAAACCATATTCATACGTACGTTTGAGCCAATAAGAACAGGGACTAGAATATTCCGTCCCAATTTATCCAAGGATGTATTTGGTTATATTGTATTCTTCCAGATGGTATAAACTGTCAGATCTGTAGTAGTAAGACAAATGACCAAAAATCAACATTTTTAGAATAACATAACAAAAACTTAATAAGCTATCCTTTACATACAATGAAACAATTTAACACTCAGAAACTCCTAATTATAGCATTCATAACTCCTTGTCAGTAAAACAACCTCATTTTAAATCCGCTTTTTACATGAATTATTTCACCAAAAACTTTTTGAGACAGGAATAATTTACCACAGTCTACCCATGAAATAAAATCTTTCCCATCCGTTGTTAGCTGCATCGATGTTTACTTCTCCGTGTTAGGACGGCTTTGGGAAACACGACGAAGCCTCCAGCGGCTCTAAAGGAGCCGAAGAGATTCTATCTGACCAGAACCTGATAGAGCTTTCTAGAATATCAATGTGGGATGTTAAGATTGGACAACAGCATAACTTGACACCCTACGGATTGGCAGCATTCACTTTCTCTGCTTCTTCTGTCTTCTGATTTGCGACTCTGGGGTTCTACACGTTTAAGTGTCGCTAGTTGTATATCTTATTCTGCCTAATCTAGTAGAGATAGTAACGCTCCTTTGAAATTGCCTCGAATGTGCTTACACCTGTAAGTGTATCCCAGTCCACTAGTGAGATTACAGGAACTTTAAATGTCTATTCGTTTTTATTACTGAGCCTACTAATGAAACCTCCCTACCTGCAGATACTTTACATTAACACTGTCACTGGTAAACATAACTAACCTAAATCATATCTAGAACGCACAGCAGACCATGTATTATGGTAGACCTGACGAACTGACCTATCAAAATGGCTATTGCTTTTGTTATCTCATGCTCTCTGTTTCCTTTGTATTTCTTCTAGCTGTAAATGATTATAATCAATAAGGTATGGGGCTGAAAATAAGTGCACGGTGGTTGTGATTTCTCATCCCCCTGTTGATAAGACATTTTAGAGTGTGATTAGAAAAAATTTGAAATAGGTGATTGGTGAACTTGTTTTTGAAAGTGTGTGCTCATGTGATAATGAGCAAACATTCTAGTGAGAAGCAGTGACCAGTGGAGTTCAACCAGGTCTGTTGTGAGGTAGTAACTTACTGATGACAATGGTGGATGTGTCGCTCGATTTCGTGGATTAGTTGAAGTTAGGCATTAACACTGTCGTATGCCGGCCCAATGGTCTAGTTGCTTAAGAGCCTGGCGCGAAAATGATAGGTCCCAGGTTCGAACCCCGCGAGGCGGGGTCGTGGATGCGCGCCGCTGAGGGGTCTCACGATGGGACGAAACGGCCGTCTAGTGCTTCCAGGTTTTCCATGGTGGTCTAGCTTCAATTGACTCATGATCTCAACTGTTGAAACATTTTATCGCCTTTAATAATTTGTTAAGTGACTGTAAACTGTGCATCTTTGTAATCTGATTAGTTCAAATCTAAGTAGCATAGAGCACAGCGCAACTTCGTGGATTGGTTGAGGTCAGACATTAACACGAAGTACCATCAGAGTAGTCAAAATAGTTCACGATACAAAAAGGATAGATGTCTTAGATGTATGGAGAACTGAGAAATTCATGCATTTGTGGACCACAGTTCTGTTCTCCATTAATAATAACATTATTTATACTTTAAGTATGAATATCTTTAATATATACCTCGGGGAAAGAAACTACATAATGGACTTACGCTTTGTAAAATAAACAATTTTTCTAACATCCAATGCCAAGTAGCATCTTCAACTGTATCTTCACATACAGCTGTTGTTAAAATGGATCCGTTCAACGTGGAAAGTAAATGTACACTTCCAGGTTTTCCTTCACATATAACAACTGCTATATTAATCGAACTACCATTTTGATATTCAGCTAAATTAGATGATTTGTCGGCCCTTGGATTAACAATATCATATAAATCATTCAATCTAATAAATGAAATATTTTTAACTGTTTGTGGAAATTCGGCGATCGCTGAACAAGGCTGTTCAATAATACGAAATAAAGGAATAAAATGGTAAATTTAAATAAATTCTATATTTTAACAAACACGTTATTCACTAACCAATAATCTATCATGTAAATATACATACTACTATGTAGCTTTGAAATTAAGCTTAATGAGAAGGGATCCTTCGTTAAATTATTTGTTTTATAAACATTAACTCCAAACAAACACGAAATGACAAATCCCAACTTAGTATAAATTGAAACAAATATACTCTTCATTTATTTTGTTGAATATAAATCTGAAATAAGATAATATTATGACTATTCATCAAACTCAAGAGGAATTGTTTGATTTGATGACGTCTTTTTAATCTCACATGCAAACAGCGGTGTCTCGTAAAGGTTTGATTATACACTTTAAAGTTATTGCTTTGGACAATACAACTTTCATTTTTGTAGATGTTAGTGAGTTTTATCTTACAAACAATGTTAATTAATATGATAAAATAATTGATCTGATAGATGAAATATGACGTTTTACCGAAAATACCTCCAAAGTTTTAAATAAACTGGCTAAAGTTAAGAATGCGAACAAACGGATTCCGAGTTAATGATCTAAAGAGATCATGCTTGTTCAGATATTTGAAGACTGAATATAAGATAGTGTACAATTGTGGGGAAGCATTACTTTAGAGACTCAAAAAAGAATCAAACATCAGCACAACACTCCCCGTTTTTTAATATTTCTTAATTTGATATCGGTTCATGGTAAAGTTCTTCTTTAAATTAATGGTAGTACAAAACATCATTTCAGAAATTAAATAAATAGACCTTAATCTTTCAATAAAGTGAAACGAGTTTATTTTTACATCAGTGAATGAAGAAGTCCAAACAAGCTTGCTGAATGAAACGTTTGAATTATTTGAATTTCAATCACTGAGATTATTTCAAATATAATTTCCACATAAAATGAGTATTTATGAAGTGTTTGATGGTTTTGTTTGCGGATCTGTAACAAGTACCAAAAGACTGGAAAGAAGGACTCCTGATCAAAATACCGAAGAAAGGCGATTTCAGCAACTGTGATAACTACAGGGGCATCACTTTCCTCTCAATACCTGGAAACGTCTTCAACAGGGTATTGTTAAACAGGATGAAGGACTGCGTAGACGCCCAACAGGTAGGATTCCGTAAGGATGGATCGTGTACAGACCAAATCGCAACTCTACGGATCATTGTGGAACAATCGATGGAATGGAATTCATCACTCTACATCAACTTCGTTGACTACGAAAAAGAATTTGATAGCGTGGACAGAACAACACTATGGAAACTTCTTCGACACTACGCCGAACCTCAGAAGATAGTCAATATCATACAGAGTTCACATGATGGATTACACTGCAAAATCGTGCATGGAGGACAGTTGACAAAGTCATTCGAAATGAAGACCGGTGTTAGGCAAGGTTGCTTACTCTCACCCTTTCTCTTTCTCCTGGTGATCGACTGGATCATGAAGACGTCAACATCTGAAGGGAAGCACGGGATACAATGGACATCTAGGATGCAGTTGGACGATCTAGGCTTCGCAGATGATCTGGCCCTTCTATCCCAAACGCAACAACAAATGCAGGAGAAAACGACCAGTGTAGCAGCAGCCTCAGCAGCAGTAGGTCTCAATATACACAAAGGGAAAAGCAAGATTCTCCGATACAACACAGCATGCACCAATCCAATCACAATTGACGGAGAAGATTTGTAAGATGTTAAAACCTTTACATATCTGGGCAGCATCATTGATGAACAAGGTGGATCTGATGCAGATGTGAAGGCGCGGATCGGAAAAGCAAGAGCAGCATATTTACAACTGAGGAACATCTGGAATTAAAGCAACTGTCAACCAACACCAAAGTCAGGATTTCCAATACAAATGTCAAGACAGTTCTACTGTATGGGACAGAAACCTGTAGAACTACAAAAGCCGTCATCCAGAAAATACAGGTGTTTATTAACAGTTGTCTACGCAAAATACTGGCCGGACGCTATTAGCAACAACGTACTGTGGGAGAGAACAAACCAGATCCCAACAGAGGAAGAAATCAGGAAGAAGCGCTGGAAGTGGATAGGACACACATTGAGGAAAGCACTCAACTGCGTCACAAGACAAGCCCTCACATAGAATCCTCAAGGCCAAAGGAAAAGAGGAAGACCAAAGAACATTACGCCGGGAAATGGAAATAGACATGATACAAATTAACAAGAATTGGATGGAACTAGAAAAGAAGGCCCAGGACAGAGTGGGTTTGAGAATGCTGGTCGGCGGCCTATGCTCCATTGGGAGTAACAGGCGTAAGTAAGTAACAATTAGATATTTACAGAGGAACAGTAACTAGACCATTGAAAATATAGGCAAATCTAAATTTGTGTTACCTCAGATATTGTCCAATGTTCCAAGTAATACTCCTGTTGGTGTTGCTCATGAATCTTACATGAATTGATGTCTTCATATACTCCAACTAAAAAAAGTTCACCAGTGTCTTTTTTCACTGTAATGTCATGGATAGTATGTACTGAGTGTGATGCTGAAGTCTTTGTAGACAGAACCTTTGAATACAAATTCATTAGTGTCTGTCTACTATCTACTTCTTTGATGGTATTCTCCTTAGTTCCATTATCTGATACAATTCTTGACGGGTTTGAAAATCCAGAACTATCATTTTTCGGATATACATAGTCTGATTGCCAGAACTGCCAACATTTCATCAATCCATCCTTACTTATAGAAACAAAACTTGGAGACGTGGAATAGAATTTTTGTGGTCTAATTAAATCCCACCTATGTGCTGAAAAATGAATAATTTCTCCTAAGTGACCATGAAGTACTGATAACTGAACTTGGTCGGTATTCCATGTCTGAAAATGAAAACGTTTAGTGAATTTATTTGTCTAGTTACCGTTTAACCAAAATGTAAATTTTTAACATTGCCTGATTCCTGGGTTTTCAGTAAATTTTCAAAAACCTATCAGCGGTAATTTGACACCTTTTACAATGTTTCATAGCATTCAATATATACACTTGGTCTAGTTGACCTGAATCTTCATATTTTAACAATTTAGTAAAATAAGGTTCTAATGACTTCATACTAGAACTAGCAAAGGATGTATTCGGTGATTATAACGATTTTCCTCTGATCAATTTCCAGATATTCATTTCATTTTACATATATTCCATAGGTATAGGTCATTCATAATTTGTCGTCCGTAGTAAGTGATCTGTATATACATAAAATCTTCTCGCCTTGAGGCCTGAAGGTCTTGGGTCCAGTTCTTAGTGAGATTTTGGATGATCACCAATCCAACTAAGACGAAATAGCTACCCGATAATCACTGATTTTTGATGGTTATCTAATTAGTCAGTTTTCGTTGTAAACCACATTCAGATTAAACGACTTCTACAAAACTCCCGTGTTAGGATAAATTGGAGTTATAAAAATACAGAGGGGAAAGGAGATATGTATATGAAGCGTATTGGGACGATTTTACAGTAGAGATTATTGCTGGGTGATTGGGTCAGTGGGCGATCAACGTTAGATTTAATCTGCTACGTTTGATCGATTCATAGCTCTGGTAACGTTTTGAATCTGGGATGCATTATGACAAAATTCACATGGATAAATCAGTATAGAGATTTGTTCTAGTTCCATTTGCTGGAAACTAATGGTGAACTGTTAACGACATTTCCAATTTGAATTGTGATTAACTAATTAGGTGCAGTTACACTTCAATAAATTCTAGTTCTCATCAAAATTATAGTTCGCTGCCATTTTACAAATTATCACTGAAATTATTTGAAGTGAGCTATATAACCGGAAAAATTAACAGTTAGCTTTAGCATAGAGAAAACTATTGTAATAAATATATGAATAATGAAATATATTCATGCTAATGACAAGTCTAAAACGAAACAAGAAAGTTATGGTGTTAACGTTTTGGTTGTGATGAATATTATATTCAGTATGAGGGTGTAGAGGTTGTTGAATCTCATTGAAACCAAAAATTAGTGTAAGTTAGACCACCATTGAAAAGCTGAAAACACTGGATTGGCAGATCATCCTACTATAGGACTAATCAGCAATGCGCACCCACGACCCTGTAATCAGGAATCCAACCCAGGACCTTCGATCCCATGCGTGAACGCTTGACCTCTAGACCACTGAGCTAGCATAATATTTTTTTAGTCAATTCAGTTTTCAGTACTTTAGTTGTATGTTTCGCCTTCTCACTTATTTGTATAAATAGTCATATTTATCTATCAATTATTTTCACAATGGATCATTGATCAAATTATGTGTTACAGATTAACGATACCTACGAAGAGCTTACACAAAGCAGACAAAGGGAAATCATTCCATTGTTATTTGCGAAGTGTCATGAGCTATCTGAACGTAACTTCAATTTACGTCTACGTAAATAAATTTTATTGTGATTTAAGCTATGATTAGTTAATGAGCAGAAATGAATATATCAAGTCTGTGATTACTATATAGACTATTGTCACATGTAATAGATTAATTTTACTGTGGTAGTTCAGTAACCCAGTGTATTATTAAATAGCTAGTGTCCCAGTGGTAGTATAGTATCTATTATCTCGTATTTTGTATCGAAAAACGATTTTTATTTTCACTGTTATAAAACAGTAAGTTCTCAATATTTGTATCGAGCAGTGATACTTTGAATTAGTTAGTTCTAGCAAACAACTGAAATGAATCAACTTTAAAATATGTGCCTTATTTTGTAAAATACATACTTTAATTGTTCCACATCTATCACCAGTAATTAAAATATTTAATGGGCTAATGTAAAGAACAGCCGTAATTTGTGATTTGTGGTTGATCATAGCATTTTCAAAGGTTTGAAAATTGATCGTTTCTAATAGTTTTCCATCAGTCTCATCACAATCATTATTGTGGGATATGGAACTGAAATGTCTGTTAAATTGCATACAACGTAACCAAGCAGAACATTTCCAAGCAATTAAAAGTTTACAGTTATGACAATATTTCTCTTCGAAACTGATTAATTCTGATGGGAATTCATATGTTTCAAGAAGAGTTTTAAGTAGAGGACATGTCATGATTTTTGTAAATAATTCTTCTTGATAAGTTGGAAAACTAAATGAGGTACAATCCTTAAGTATCAAAACTGGTACACATTTATTAGGTATAAGTTTAATTTCAGTAAATTGAAACTGCCAGTGTCTTGCAAATATAATCCAACAATAGTCATTCGAAAATATTTTAAACGATCTTAATTCCAACGAAAATATACTTCCTGAATCAAAATTTGAAAATACACCAATCAACTGATTTTTAGTTGTAGATGGGATGCCAATATTCTGAAAAAAATTGATGAGATAATATGATAGTAATGAAAAAAGTTGTTACGAGGAATTTATAATAATGATGAATGACAAATAATTCTACAAGAACTGAATGTATCACCAACCGAAAGTAATGTTAAGGGACAAAATTTACCCTGATATCAAGTAAGTGATTGCCAAATTTATAGTTATATTTATCCGTATTCAAATAACACTGAAGTACAGTAACAGAATGTTTGAATGATTTAGGCTGATCTGTTCAGTATCAAGATAACGTTATTTAGACTGAATTTCAATAGAAATAGACGTCTGAATTCGAGAAACTGTTGCATCACCGATCTAATTTAATCACTTCCCGTCAAAGATTTGAAAGCCTCATATAGCGTCAGGAAAATTCTAATATATAACTAAGGTTAACTACTGAAATTTTCAGAATTCTGAATATCATGTTTTGCGGACCCTTAGTAGTGTTGATAAACAGAAAGTAATTTAGCCATTTTCCTTAGAGCTTAGCTCATATTCAATTTTATTTGTGGTGTGTGTTGATGATGTCGACAGATATAAGTAGTATGTATCACCAATCCAAAGTGAAATGTCTGGCGGCAGAAGGTTAAAAAGATCGAAGAAAAGAAAACTAGAACAGAGGATGGTAGCTGTGGAAACAAGGAACAATGAAGTCTGGAACGATTGGTTGACATATTGCAAATGAGGTATTTATTGTATGGTTCTCAGATTTTTTGTGCCAAGATACATTTACTCGTCCCCATTGGTGTTCTCGTTCATTACGTATTTACTTATTTCCAGTGAACGATATATTCGATTACGTGCGATCTGTGGTAAAAACGAATTGCCGTCTTTGTCAACTATACTGTTACAACCACAGACGTATCGAATACCGTTGAAAATTTAGAATGGCAACAAGAAACTTGATTATTTAATCAAAGTGAGTTCTGATCTAGCCCCAAATGGTAAATTTGCTCGTTTGAAATGACTTCTAGTAATTCAGATGTTCGAAGAACCATAATCCTTTCAAAGTTGTATAAAAGTTCAGCTCACGTGAAGTAGTATCCACCGTTAAAAGCAATATGACTTATAAATGGTGAATTATCATCCGGATAACCAGCTGCTAATATAAAACTTATTCAGTTTATCGTAATCTATAATGACAAGTGCCAAACAACCGTCGTACTAACACAACAAAATGCAATGGGGAAGGAGCTGCGTATTTAAATGCTTGTATATACGAATATACATAAGTAACGATTTTTAGCTGGTATCCAAGTTCGCGGTTGCAAAATGTTACGTTCTGTAGTTATCTGAATCTGATGTTGATATGCACAGGCTTCCTAAATGCATACACAAACCAACTGCATCAGTGAGAAAACCAACTGTAAGTAATAACCTTGAGATGGTGAAGTTTTGTAGCTCAGGTGAATGATTTTGGTGGAGTTTTGTTCTCTGAGCTGGATGGTTTGGTCTACCATCAAAAGTAATAACCTATTATTGGCTAGCCGAATCGGGGGCAATATGCACGTCTCATTCATAAATATGGGTATATGTCCTCCATAAAACGGAGCCGAATCCTGAACAAGAACGTGCCTTTCTTAGCACCTCTCACTTTTTATTTGCCCACTGTCTGACTTCCCTCGATGCAGTACATTCTCTTCGTGAAAAACAAGTCTTTTTTTAAAATTCAAATAAACTAATTGAATGGGGGGTCGCTTACAAAAATACTTAGATCACGTTAGAGAATATTGTGGAACATATAATATATGTATTTATTTGACAACAGATATTTTTGTGCAAAATTTCTTTACTTGAGCGTTCAAAGAATACATTAATTCTTTGTTTTCTATTGTAAGATTTTAATTGCAAAAAACGACATTGATACAATCAATACGGAGAAAAGTAAAAATATAATGAGATTTGGTTGCCATATAGTTTAAATATCTCACCTGAAGATTTTCACATGATAAAGGCCATAAGGTATTTCCACCAGGTTTCCAACCAATGAAAACGTCCACTTTTGATGCATAGGCTAAACGGTTATAACTTTGACTAAAAGCATTTTCTGACGATGAATTTAGAACAAACAATTTAAAACGTAAGAACATGTAATGAAATAAAATAGTATTAATTTATTTTACCACTTGGAAATTTAATGAACTATTAAGTCATTGTACTTGCCAAACCATCATATCCAAATAATTCTAATACGTATTTTAGTTAACAGATAAAAAGTTCATTAAGTTTGACAGTTTTATTGAGGGGTTTTTACATGGACGATAAGTTCTACTTTGGATTCGGAACCATTTGAAACCATAGCATTATTAAATGTTCTTTTGTTAGAAGAAAATAGTTCAGTGATGTAACTTACTTTCTGGTTTTTCGCGTTTTTCATCGCACTTATATAAAAATGTTTAAACGTAAGGTAACATCAAAATTTTTAAAACTGAGAATATATCACAGCGGTCGGTATACGATTATTCACATCCGAGCGATTTTCCCGGAATTTTCGCACGTAAAATACAACACCAATTCTTTACATTACTTTATCTAGGATTTATATTTTATATGACGAAGTGGCTGAACGAGCCAACGTCCATTTGGTTAGAGATGAATGCTTTGCAGCCATTGTTTTAGTTAATTTCAAGCATATGTTTTGTTTAAGCGATTAAAATGTAGACCAAAGGAGAATTTATCTCAACACCGACCGCATTGTGCTGATAGTTACTTAATGTAACTAAACAAGATACAAAGTAAACTAATTGTTGCTTGTATTTTTGGAAACACTTGACAGTGTCACCACCTGAAGGATCGAGCCTATTCACCTCGGCTCTCGCAACAAGCATAACATTTCAAAACCGCTAGTTTGGGACTCATTGATTTAAGTCACACAATAGTGCTATTCTGGTGAGACTATAATTTATGAACGGAACAATGGAATTAAAGACAGTAAGTCTTGGATTTGGGGGCAGAATTCATTCATCTATATAGCAAAATGGCATTTCGGCATTAAAGCTGATGTTAATTCATGATGAAAACCTTTAATTTAATTCATAACCTTAAATTCCAATTCCAAATCGTAATCCTAACTCCTCATATTAACTTATTACTTTCTTATGCCACTGGTAAGTAAGTGGATTGTCTCAAGGTCATCTCAACACCACTCAAAGGTCGTTAATAAATTATAGTCTCACCGTTATTCTTACTCACTTTTTTGAATTTCATAAAACTATCAACCTAGTTGATACGAAAGACACTGCCTCCCATTAAAGATCCAAGGAAACCAATGAAAGCATAGTCATTAGTTAACACATGATTTTCTGAAGATTTTTGCATATCTTGAATGCATTTTTCATCATTGACTGACACCCAAGGCTTCTTGTTTTAAAACGTCTCTTATTTGATATCCGTTATGCAATGAAAAATCTCTTAAACAAACAAAAAATTTTTTTAACCAATTACATCAAAAGGTAAATTAGCAGCATATAAGAATTATTATTGCAGAAAGCTAAAAAGATTGGTTGAGGATTACCAATCATTAACCAACTGTACTAAAGATTGTGAGGTGAAAGAAAATGTGGCTTTTTTTAATTAAGATACATCTGATAAATTGTGTGATATCCGAAATTGATAGTGATATGCAAGTTTTCTGTACGCAAGCCAAAGCAAGCGACTTGAGCAAAAAGAGTAAAAATTTGTTGACTGAAGCAAAATCAAGAAATATCGGTACATTAATTTAAAAATGTACTTCTTCTTACTTTAGAAAATAAAAGCTCATTTTCAACCTATGGCGTGTCTCATTCCATAGAAAGAGAACTAAAATCTTGCCTGTTAGTGAACGTTTATTGTTTAGCATTAGTCTGATTTGTCTATGGTACTAGAATTTTGTGACACAACCGAGAACAACTGACAAAGTTTCATTGAATAATTTGGCAAACAAGTAAAATCATAATTTAAAGGGGGAAAAGTTTCGTTATAAAAGATTAATGTGTTGTTAGCGGGACATAGACTAGATTAAAGCATGCTCAATGTATGATTGCTTTGGTGCACGCTGATTGGCTAATTCTTATCCAATCAGCACTAGTCGATTGTTGGAGAATACTCTGGAATCTATAAATATACTGACGTTTTCCCTATTGTGCTTCTGGCTTGCATCTTGCCTCCATCTAACCTTGTTATTTGGAATATAACCTCTTTCCTGTTCAATCGTGTTCTGATTTGGGGTCTTGTCGAGTGAATCGGTGTCCAAGAATACTAAGCAATAGGAATAGCTGGGTTATAACCGTAAGAAAGAGATTATAACAGTGGCGACGGGAAAAAAGGAAAACAAATTCAAGATGCCCATATCAGATGACCAGCTTAACCGAATACTACAACAACAGCAAGCACAACTTGATGCACAAATGCGGTTGTTGGAGATTCTGACTCAACAGCTCAGTATCCACAGCTCGAGTTCACACGCTATTTCAAGTACGTCTTGTGATGCAGTTGCTAGCAGCATCCCAGAATTCATCTATGATCCCGAAAGTGGAAATACTTTTCTAACGTGGTTCAAACGTTGGGAAGATACATTTAGAACAGAATTCTGTAACCAAGACGATGCGTGAAAGACCCGATTGTTGGTACGTAAGTTGGGAAGCAATGAACATGCACATTTTTCTGACCATATACTCCCAAAGTTACCTCGAGAGCTCAGTTTCGAGGAGACGGTATTTCAGTTGTCAGAGATATTCGGCGAGTCATCCTTGTTGTTTAGTATTCGATATCAGTGTCTAAATTTGGTGAAACGCGAAGCTGATGAATATGGTGTTCTAGCAGACATCGTCAACAGAGAATGTGAACGTTTCAAGTTACGCTCGTTGACTGATGACCAATTTAAATGCTTAATATTCATCAAAGCTCTTCAGTCACCAAACGATGCTGAGGTCAGGACTAGACTTTTAGCTCGGCTGGATCAAGACCCAAACGTCACACTCAGAACATTGACAGATGAGTGTAAGCGTCTACAAAGCATCAGACACGACAACCAGTTGATTGAACAGGTAAATCCTAATTTAACCTGCGGTAGTGTAAATACTATTACTAGGTTAAAAGTTCAGAAGCCGGTAACAGCTCGTAACAAACCAAGGACTGCATGCTGGTTATGCGGTGATTGGCATTATGCACGATTCTGTCCATTCAAGAAGCATAAATGTCAGGCGTGCAACAAACGTGGACATAAAGAAGGTCATTGTCCACCGAAGCGTACGTCTCAGCCTAAGAAGAAGCATAAACGTCCTCGACTTGTCAAATCAGCCGAGTCTAAATCTCTTTCTCTGGTAGCTGCCTTTCAAACAAACTATGACATTCGGAGAAAGTATGTTACCATCCAGATAAACGGCATATCAGCTCGTCTTCAAATTGACATGGAATCAGATATCACGTTAGTGTCTAGAGAAACGTATAACTTGCTGGGTAAACCGCCAATGAAATCATTTACGAAAACGGCTAAAAACGCATCAGGTGGTGTGCTAAAACTGGTTGGTGAATTACAGTGTGAATTTTCCTTCAATGGAACTAACTGTACAGGAATATGTTACCTAACAGAACGGCCGAACCTTGATCTTCTTGGTCTAGATGTTAGACAAACTTGGAATAATGGATATACCAATTAACAGTGTCTGTAACGTATCGTGTTCATCATTGGACACCCCAGTACTTCCAAAGAAGATAGGTGAAACGTTACTAGAAAAAATGAAAAGAAAGTTTGCCTGTTTTTCAGAATAGCCTTGGCCACTGTACCAAGATGAAAGCGCACTTACCAGTGAAACCAGATGCTATACCTATTTTTCGCCCAAGACGTCCTGTACCATATGCTGCTCTTGAGCTAGTCGACCAGGAACTTAATCGCTTGCAACAGGCTGGTGTAATCCGACCAGTTAACTACTCTGCATGGGACGCACCGATCGTAGTGATTAAGAAGGCCAATGGGACTATACGCATATGTGCCGATTTCTCGACCGGTTTAAATGCTGCATTAGATGTATATCAATATCCATTACCAGTTCCTGAAGACCTGTTTGCCAAGCTGAGTGGTGGTACATGCTTCGCGAAAATAAACTTCTCCGATGCTTATCTCCAAGTGGAAGTAGATGAAGACAGTAGAGAGCTTCTGACCATTAACACTCATCGAGGGTTATTTCAATACACCCGTCTACCATTTGGCATCAAGAGTGCACTCGCCATCTTTCAGCAAATAATGGATACGATGCTAACAGGTATACCTGGTACAGCAGCTTATCTCGATGATATCATAGTTATGGGTTCAACTGACAGTGAACTTTCTGATCGACTACACCAAGTCCTTAACCGAGTGTTGGAGTATGGTTTCCAACTACGTGAGGAAAAATGCATCTTCTTCATGCATTCGATCAAATACCTTGGTTTTATCTTAGATAAGAACGGTCGCCGACCAGACCCTACCAACATCAAAGCCATTCAGAAGATGCCTGCACCAACTGATGTTTCTTCATTAAGAACCTTCTTGGGGTTGATCAGTCATTACAACACATTCTTGCCTAAAATGCATCGAGTGAGAAATCCCCTAAATGAATTACTATCAAAAGATAAACCTTGGAAGTGGTCAGCAGAGTGTCAAGCATCTTTTGACAAAGTCAAATCAATGCTCAGCTCAAAGATTCTTTTGACGCACTTTGATCCCAGCTTGGAAATCGTTGTTGCATCTGATGCCTCTAGTCATGGAGTTGGAGCAGTGATATCTCACGTGTTTCCGGATAAATCAGAAAAGACAATTGCCCATGCTGCTAGATCACTTACTCCAGCCGAGCGAAACTACAGCCAAACTGAAAAGGAAGCTCTTGCAATCATTTTCGCCGTCAAAAGATTTCATAAAATGTTCTATGGTCGTACATTTACTCTACTGACAGATCACAAACCTTTGATTGCAATCTTTGGTTCTAAGAAAGGAATCCCTGTCTATACGGCTAATAGACTACAGCGCTGGGCGACAATGCTCCTGAGTTATGATTTTAATATCAAGTATCAGTCGACAAATACTATCGGTCAAGCTGACGCTCTTTCCCGACTAATTGGAGTTCAACATCCTGGACCATAGGATATAATCATTGCCTCCACAGCAGTAGACCCAGAAATACGAAGTATAGTAGCAGATGCCATTCGGAACACTCCAGTGTCGTCAGATGAAGTCAGGGAAGAAACGCTTCGAGACCCAACACTATAAGAAGTTAGAAAGTTCTACCTAGAAGGGTGGCCCTCGAAAATCAGTTCCACAGAGCTTCAACAGTTTTACCAGCGAAGACTCTCTCTTTCAATCATCGATGACTGTTTGCTGTTTGCCGAACGCGTCATAATCCCCAAGAAGCTACAACCAGCAGTGCTTAAACAGTTGCATGCAGGACATCCTGGAATAAATCGCATGAAAGCACTAGCACGACGTTATGTATACTGGCCGCATTTAGACACCCAACTAGAGCAGCTATCCTGTTCGTGTACCAAATGTGCATTAGCAACAAAAGCACCACGAAAAGCAGAGCTGCAATCATGGCCAATACCACAGTTACCGTGGCAGCATATACATTTGGACTTTGCTGGTCCACTTCATGGACAAACTTACCTTTTGGTGGTTGATGCATATAGCAAGTGGCCAGAAATTTTTCTCATGGAACACCCGACTGCAAGCAGCACAGTCAGTAAACTACATCAACTATTCAGTCGTTTCGGAATCCCAGAATCGATAGTTAGTGACAACGGAACACAGTTTACGTCCGAAATCTCACAATTTTGTCGGCAGAACGGAATCCAGCACCTTCGAACACCTTCATTCCATCCCCAGTCAAATGGCCAAGTGGAACGCTTTGTGAGTACATTTAAAAATGCTCTTAAAAAATATAAAGGGGAAGGGACCACTGAAAATATCTTAGAGAGGTTCCAGTTTATTTATCGCTCTACACCGAACCCTCAGACGATTAACGGGGTCTCTCTAGCAGAAGCTCTACTTGGCAGAAAGATACGAACACATTTCGATGTCATCCGTCCTACGCCAGCTATTGAACCCCAAAGAAACCTCAGTCAGTCAGTAACAACGTAGAACTTCGTACGTACGTACATCAGTTCGAGTTGCCACACCACCTTAACACGGAGATGCAGTTGTCGATCCAAATCCCGTAGTAGTAGAGGTAGCAAGAGTGTAAGCAGTGATCGGGAAGATTAGGGTTTTGAGATGTTATTTAAAGAGTATAATTCAGTGAAATAAATTTGGAAAGAGGAAAAAAGGGACATGAAGAATTCAGAAGATTAGGATTTGGAAGAACACAAAGAGTGGATGCACCTGCGCCATTGCAAACGATTTTGAGCCATGTCATTCAGGGTCTTTAACCATCGGTTGCTATCATCTCGCGGTCCCCAACCAGGTAGTCTACACCTATCAACATGACTCAGACCACTTGTCAGTGACTTCATGGACTTGTGCCATGTTTTGGTCTGGCCGCCCCTAGCTTTCTTCCAACCTACTCCTATACCACTGAACATCGCACGTCGAGGCAGTCGGTCGTTGGGCATACGTAACACCCAAAGAAACCTATCGATGGGGAATCAGTTCAACCGACATCATGGGGCACAAAGACGATTGTTCACGGTGGGACAAAAAGTACTTGCTATGGACTATCGTGTGAAACATCCTACATGGACAGCTGGTCGGATCTTGAAAAAGAAGGGGAGTGTGGTTTACAAAGTGTCAGTTGGCTCGGGAGTTTGGGTACGTCATGCTAACCAACTGAAAGCAACTTCGATAGCCAGCAACAAAATTCAATATCAATTACCTCTTGATGTTCTGCTAGACACCTTTGAAATCAAAACGCCGGGAATAGACACGTCAGTTTCTGTGCAAGAAAAGAGTGATACTTCTCTATTGCCTAGACGATGGACTAATCGAAAGCACAGGCCAGTCACTCGGTTGCAGTTGGACCCCAGCACCAGATCCTACGAATCTGCTCAGAGGGGAGGTGTTAGCGGGACATAGACTAGATTAAAGCATGCTCAATGCATGATTGCTTTGGTGCACGCTGATCGGCTAATTCTTATCCAATCAGCACTAGTCGATTGTTGGAGAATACTCTGGAATCTATAAATATACTGACGTTTTCCCTATTGTGCTTCTGGCTTGCATCTTGCCTCCATCTAACCTTGTTATTTGGAATATAACCTCTTTCCTGTTCAATCGTGTTCTGATTTGGGGTCTTGTCGAGTGAATCGGTGTCCAAGAATACTAAGCAATAGGAATAGCTGGGTTATAACCGTAAGAAAGAGATTATAACATGTGTTAATAGCTCAACGATTACTTTAATGTTAACCACTTAGTGAATCTGACATTACTGATCGATAAAAACTTAAAGATATGATACTACTTTCTAATTATCTCTCCTTTGAATGTCCGTCTTTCTAGTAAGTTCGTAAAGCCTTTTAAATGACATGTTTCAATGGTTACATTTTTATACCAACAATCTTGTCATAATGAAATACAAAATCTCCCAGTCTATTTGTTGGTTTTCATTTTTTAAAGTCATAAGGAAAAGAAAATAGCATTCATTCTTAGACTGATATACGAAATAATACATACTATTTTTGTTTTCCGTCAAAAGTACTTCGTTCATCAGTTTAAATTCTTTCAGATCGTAAAATTTGATGCTTGATGGTGTTTTAATTGCAATCCGTTCATTTTCCCTTGGTAAGTAAAGAACCTGCATAAAGGAAAAAAGATTAAGATAAAGTAAAATTAATACAGACAATGGTTATATATTCCTAACGTTGAACAAAAATACTCTTTTTGTTCATTCATATTCATTCTGTTTAAGCCAAACTAGTATTAAAAGTTAATATAAAGCAATTAATCTCAAGTGTATTTGTTGAATGACATAGTCGACTTACAAGTGACTCTTCAATTTAACTGCTTTATTTTAATAAATGATGAACAATGATTGTCGAAAAATATTTAAAGTTCCTATGACTTACATAACACTAAAAGAGTTTGTCTATTTCAGCTAAGTGAGAGTAGGTCTTTTTATGCCTTCATATCAACAACTTACTCTTAAGCTCAGCGGAATCCTAGTTGATAATTAACTGAACAAGACTCTGGTGGAATGACATTATACTTTCCTATAGGCATGTATCACAATGAGGAAGTCCTAAACAAAGAAAAAGGGATCTAAGATTATTCAAAAGTGGTAATTTCGCTCCTATCCTATTTTAGCATAGAGAGCAACAAAAGAGCCCAAACTTTTAAAATGACGTTTGGTTATGTAGAATTACCTGTTATTATGGTTTATTTCAAGATTATTAGCAATTAAGGTTATCATAAGGGAGTCCAAAACTTAAAACGGCATTATTATGGAGTGACATCCTTACATAAAACGTAGTTGATCGATAGAATACAGTCAGTGTCATTTTTTTTAGCGAACTAACTAGAAAAGCTCATGAGTGTGGAATGCATAAATTCTAAAGGATTGGGAAATTGCGGTTAAACAGAAAACAAAATTGAACACAACAATTACCTGCTCTATTATACAAGACGAAAAAGATGCCGACCTTTTGAGAAGACTATATCCAAATATTCTATCAACGTTTGAATATATACTGGGTTGACTGTAGCTGTAAGATTTACAGTGAAGTATCCAATCTCTAAGTAGCCTCCATCTGTTCCTTGAAAACAATAAATTATAATTTCAAAGTTATTAAAATGCTTTATTACCTTGCCTTAATTGAAAATGTATCGCCTATGTTTTTATAGTTACAAGGAAGGTCACAATTTTGTTTGTGATCATTAGTGTTCATATTGAAAATGGGCTGATTGTGGTTACAACGACCTAATATTGGCAACCTCTAACTGGTAAAAATAAACAAAGTACCATAGTTCTTACAATGTTTATTAATAGAAAAAATGTTATTTATAGAAATATCCATACGACAAGTATCTTTTTTTCAATTATTATCTTGTTTTAAATAATCACTCTTCAGGCGAAGCCGTTTCTACGTTGGATGACAGAACACTTATCATCAGGCTATTCATTTAATGTCATTTGCATCAGAAATGATTGCATGCTATGGACAGTCGCATAAAGTAGTGGTTCCGCGTTGTACTTTTGTTGCCAATGAAAGATGATAGATTTGCTGTTGGCAAAAAATTTCAATCAGTCTAGCCATTCACTTAGTAAGCTTATTCACCTGGTTATTATTATAGTATGATTCAGGTTCAATATAAACCACAAAAGGTTATGTCATCAACGTTCAACTCGGGTAAACCAAAATCTTCGACACTGATCACTTGAATTTGTTTTCTGAACAGCCAATAATCCCCCTATCTTCAATACTGTGATTGCTGGTGGTTACAGAAGTCCTACCGCTCCGAGGGGGACACTTTCACACAGATTACAATATACATAAGCCAACAAATAAATAACAAACCTACTGAAATTAGTACAGTCAAGTGAGCAGAATACCACGCACTGGACATCACCAAATACCTGGAACCTCATAGGAATAGCAAGAAGAAAGCTCAGAACAGGCAGAAGGTTGGCACATGGTCTTGGGTGAGATTCAACATATCGTATATACGTATGCATACAATACATACAATTGCTTAACATTTATCAAACACAACCTATGGATAGTATAAATGCCTTAGAGCCAGAAATCAGTGGGGTGTGAAAAATTGATGACAACTGAATTTTGTAAGCCCCACTGGCATTATTTTCAAAACAGGTTCAGATAGCCTGCGAGACAAGTTCACCTTTTGGTAATAAAATCGGAAGTATAATGATTTCACTAAACATGCTTGTTTTTTACAATCACGTAAGGCGAAAGTACAAATTAAACTGGTTTATAGTATTCAAAGTGGCTATTGATAAGAATCCGTTCCAAAGTCGACCTTTAACAATTCCCATATTTTGTGTAGGCATTATATCAGGATCCTGAAAGGAAATGGAAAGAAAGAAAACTAAGAAACACATCGTGTTTGAAATTAGAAGCAGACATCAAAATTATAAAAAGCGATTAAAAACAACTTGAAAGGATTGCATTGGACCTCACGCTTCTACTTTACTGTTCTACTCTTTAAATAAAAACTTATTCACTACTAGCCTAATTTATTCTATCGATAGATTGAGGTGTGCCTACCAGCACAAAAGACCCTCCTGTTTAACAGATAAATATACGGGCACTAGTGTCGTTAGAGCTGAGCTATGATTCTTGAACTGTATCAGAATTTTGGTTGGGCAAGACCATCGGATTACTCGTTCGACGACTAATAATGGTAATTTTAAAAGCCAAACTATCCGACTAATTCTGAGAAAATTCTAAAATACTACGCTGGACATCACAATGAAACCAGTATTTTAAATCTCTCAGCTTCAATTTAAGGTATTTTGATCGACAAATTCGGAAATTTATGGTCGGATCTGAGAGCTACCAAGAATTCAACGGTACAATCCGGAGCTTCTGCTCGTCACGTGCTTGGCTTCAAGAATTTAGAACAAGGAACTTGTAGAACTTATGGTCTACTATGATATTAGTACTGCTCTAATAATAGACCTAGTCCTAAATCTGTGGATTTGTCATGATATGACTGCCTAATCTATAAGATCTTACGTGGAAGTCACACCATCAACTACACCAACTCACTGTATCGTATCAATTACCAATACGTGACGTAGAACAAGGTTAGGCTAGAGAAAGAACAATATATTTAATATGAATAGAAGATATAAGGTAACATTCAGCAGAGACCACGCCTGCATGGCCGAGCCATGCCGTTCGATCAACTCTAGTCTATTCAATTCATTATTCGCGCCTTCTCCACGCCATTCGTGAGGAGTAATGATCCAAAAGTATCCACAATAAAACATGCAGTATGGCAATTAATTCCAGGGTGCTTGATGCTGTTGCCACTCGCTCAGATCAAAACAATCGAATGAATCCAGATAATTGTGTCAGCCATTGAACGAACCATCTAAAATGACCTTATGATTGCAGGAAACTTATGGCTGAAACTCACCGTATGTTTTTAGAGAAGTGTCATCCTTGTTGTTTGACAATGGAACTCGAGAATATGAAATTAGGCAGGCAGTGGTCGGAAGAAAAGGATAGTGCATAGTTTAAAACAGGATGAGGTGTTAAGCGAAGAAACACTAAGAATTAGATCCAGATAACTATTCAATCCTTGATTCCATTGTTAGCCAATGTATATTTACGCTATTTACAGGTCATATTTGGTAGAGCTTGATGTTTAAACAAGTTCATGTCGCTGAAGCAGGTAAATGCTATTAAAGCTTGTTAACGAACCATCAAAGCTAATTAGTTGATATAGATGATCAACTTTTATTATCGATTGAGCTAGTAAGTTATGTGAACTAATAGATATAACATTACGATAATATATGTGACCATTAATCAAAGGACTATTAGAATACTGGGTTTACAAAAATAAAAACCGATTGAGAAGGTTAAGGTGTTAGCGATAATAGGTTGCGTTTCTTTAGTTGGGCTCACCAATGTAGAACTTATGGTCTACTATGATATTAGTACTGCTCTAATAATAGACCTAGTCCTAAATCTGTGGATTTGTCATGATATGACTGCCTAATCTATAAGATCTTACGTGGAAGTCACACCATCAACTACACCAACTCACTGTATCGTATCAATTACCAATACGTGACGTAGAACAAGGTTAGGCTAGAGAAAGAACAATATATTTAATATGAATAGAAGATATAAGGTAACATTCAGCAGAGACCACGCCTGCATGGCCGAGCCATGCCGTTCGATCAACTCTAGTCTATTCAATTCATTATTCGCGCCTTCTCCATCGTTAGGTATTTCTTCGCGTTAAATATTGAATACCTATTTCCCGAGTAATCTCGTATTCAGCTTTGAGGATAGTGTGGTTATGGTCCAATGCCACTACAAACTGATCAGTGTTTCATACACAACGATCTATAAAATCGCACTGAGGTGCAACAGATTGGTAGCATCTGTGTCTTCGTCTATGGTTGTCGGAAGTCTGGGTCCTTTCGAATGCAATACCGATATCCCCTACTGCTGGGCACTCAGTATTTTTGTTTACTCGTTAATGGTATAGTGTTGTCCATAATACTGAAGAAGATTAAAAACCGCAGATTGTTTCCTTTCATTTTGCCGGTAACATCATAAAGGACAGTTAGAAACGAACATGCGGACAGTTAGTCACAGGCGGTAGCAACAATTATTTTACCTAAAAAACGAACTTCTTCTTTGGATATCTATAAAACATGTCAAGACAAAACCGATTACCAATATAAAACATAAGACTAGCCAGCTTGGCTGATGAAATACATTGAATTCAGTAGCAGCAGCAAAAACCCAGAAAACAAAGCAAAACTAGGAAAAATTTTGCTCCAACAGTTAAAGTATTACATTAACTTTTGCATTGTAGCATACTGAAACATCAAATTATGTAGCTACACAAAACAAATAGCGGGAAAAGCACCGAACGATGAAAGCCGGCCGTCACTGCATACAAAGATGGTGTATATAATAATTCCCGCTTCATTCTGATTGGTCGCTAAGCAGACTGTCACGTTTACGAAATTGAGTTGCGTTTAATAGCAGCCACTATCATGAGAATGTTTGGAAGATCACCTGTTCAAGGCAATACTTCTTCAATACAATTAGAAAAATAAGGTTTATTTTGGTAAGCACCAGGGATGAGTAGCAATTCATACAGCATCGATCATTCACAATGTAAGGGCCTTCGAAACATTCCTAGGTATCATATGAAACTAAAAGCAAATAAAAGTCAGAACACCATCGAAATAAAAGAGTTGGTTTCAAATTCATAAATGTAAGTAAAGTGGTAGTAAATGTTGAAAATAAACAAAAATGGATCTAAGTGTGTTTGGATACTGTCAATAACAAAAGAAATAACAATTTTATAGTAAAAACAAATGAATAAACATTTGAAAAAAATACATCCATAAGTCAAGTACGTCGTTCAATAACCAAAGATGTGCTCACCTTCGTGACATGCATCTCAACTCCTTAATGAATTGTTATCTGTTTAACCTTAAAAAACTGCAGATAAAACCTTTATAAGTGAAATTGCTGAATATTAAGCGTCAACACGTTTTTAGCAGTAAATAAACCCCTAAAATAAATAGTTCTGTATGTCTGGAACATTAATGCTGACCCTACTAGTTTGACAGGACAAACCCTAGCTGACGGTGCTCGGTCACACACCCACACCGCGTCACCAACGGGTAGGCTGTGCTACGTATCCCTCGTAACTGCTAGCCAACCTAAACAAAATGCTTATCGAAATATCGGCAGGTTTCTATCTTCGAACCCATGCATTTCTGAATTCTGATTTGACCGGGTTAGCACAGTTCGATTATAAAGGTGTAAAGTGTAAAAATGACGCCAAACTCCAAATACCTGTGGCATCTTTAAGTTTTAATGAGATATATTGAAATTTCTTTTAACTAAATGATTTGTTGCTCTGTATCAAACTGATTTACGTAAACCACTTTGAAACAATATTTTCTTCACGAATTAGTAATGGTTTTCATATAGGTAGAATCGAATTTAGTCGAACATTGAAGGCTGCTGATAAAATTGTTTCAAAACACTGCAATCAAATGTTGATGGTCACTGCAATGTCCAGGTATAAGTATAAATCAATTATCACTGACACAATGAGTATGATGGAATTATATCAAGGTAGACAGAGTGAATTCAGCTTCTAATAATGATTGATTAATGAAAAGACTTAACACCTTCACTCCAGTACAATATACGTCATTTGG